CCATGAAGCCCGTACAACCTCTCGTAGAGAGTCATAGGAAAGCTGTTGGTCATCAGGATATCCCTTTTGGATCCAGTCTTTCATCCAATTCCATACTATCTCAATTGGATTTAGATCAGGTGAGAAGGCTGGCCATTCAATCGGATAGATCCCACGCTCATGAAGCTCTTTAATAGTATCTTTACTAGAATAACCAGGTGCGCCATCCTGCATAAGTTGAAGATAGTTGTTTTGTGCCGAAGAAGACGAATATAGCCATCAATAATAGGGACAATTCGCTCAGAGTATTTCTCTGCATTAATAGACCCCCATTCTTTCTCCCAGAATAAACATGGTCCTTTAGAATTTCCATGAAATGACGCCCAAAACATCCATCCACGCTTTCTAGGAGGAGAGGTACGAGTCAGGTCTCTCTAGTTCTTCACCTGCCTTCCTGGTAACCCAGATTCTTGTGTGGAATCCTGAAGTAACCCATGTTTATCGACCAAAGAATTCGATTCCATTGCTCAGTGTCCAATTTACATGCTCAAGGGCCCAGGCTAGACGTACGCGCTTGTTTTGATCAGATAGAGGTGGCTTTCGAAGAGCTTTGCATCGGGAATAACCTTGTTTTTTAAGTGCTCGAGCAAGGGCAGTCTCTCCACAGGGAAGATCAAGTTCTTCAATAACTTTCTTATAAGGTATCCGGCGTGTACGTTTTGAAGAGGAGATATAAGTAATAATATTATTCACATCTTCTTCTGATAGCTTTGGATGCTGACCAGGAGGCTTTCGGGGAGTCCTTTGCTCATTTTGGCATGTGTATTGTACCTGGCGATGGGTAAATCCTAGCTGGGAGCAGATCTGTTGATAGGTAAAACCAGCATCACGTAGAGTTAAAATTTGAATTCGATCATCACGGGTAAGCCATCTAGATTTCTGGCTAACTTCAGACACCTGAGGTGCCTCCGGAGGGGTGCTTGGCCCAGGTGTCGCCATATTAAAAGTGGCGCACAGCCATGAATCTCAGAAATATAGCTATTTGGAGTTATATTGGAGGTCTTATAGCTTCAGAACTAGGTTATATTAGGAAAGCGGTGCTTTGGGGACCTCACCGCTTCAAAGGATTCAAATCCTAGCAGGTCCCACCATACTAACATTCCTACCGGGGTCAACCGGAGTACACGGAGTTCTTGGCTTACCGGTAAGCCATAATTTCCCTACTAGACGCTAACGGGGCTACAGGTCACTTGTGCACTAGTTAAAGGTCAAGTGACCTACACCCTTGGCACATGACCGCCAAGACCCATTAATAAGCCATTTTGGGTCGCGCGACCCTTTAAATACCGGGAACTTTTCATTGAAATTCAATTTCCAATTTAATTCTCCCCATCGCAAAATCAACTTTATTATAATCAATTTATAACCACTTACCAAGTGCTCAAGTACTGTATTCTACACCATGAACTCCGAACTTGACGATATTGACTTGACTGAGTCTGAAGTTGAGTCTGAAGTTGAGTCTGAATTTGAGGATCCTACCGAGGTATGTTATCTTGTTTACTTAAGTGTTTAGCAAGTACTTAATAGGTGCTTATTAAGTGATTAGCAATTGCCAACTGCCCAAATTCGCCTCACAAATGGAAAAAGAGACTATCTTAAGACATTAAAGCTTGAATATATTGATGACCTACCGGAGTATCCTACTACACATTTGTATGGATATACATATGTTGTCGCTGCTAGGGGTCGATCACAAGAGGAAATGCAGCAACTTGTTCAGGAAGTATTAAATTAACTATTACTTAAGTACTTTGTAAGTACTTACTAACCAGTTTCTAGATTCAGTATTCTCGAAAGCAGGTCCAGGGATTAAAGAGACCTATTCAATGTCCATTTCTTAATTGTCCAGTTAAAAAATGGACCTGGAAATGCTCGGGTATTTATGCTTGTGAATATTTAAGTCATAATCTAAAAAATCAGCATCATACCTCTGTTGATGAGAATCTATGGACAGAAATTCGGAAATCACAGCAAACAGCTCAAATATTTGAAAATAATGTGGCGAGACGAAATGCGTATAGGTAAGTACTTAGAAACTGCTTTTAAAGTACTTGTAAAGTAGTTACTAACTACCTATAGCTATTTCCAATCCAAGAATACATTTTTTAAGCGAGGGCACGCCTGTATTGATCAGCTTCCATCCTGCAAACCAGTATTTCGACGATTTACTCAGGCGGTAAGTCTAAGTACTTAATAACTACTTATACACCGCTTAATAACTAGGTATTAATAGGATGTGAATGGAATATATCAGCCGTATATTGGTTGTATTAATGCATCCTTTGAACAACTAAATAAGCATCATTTTAGCTCTATTCAAGGGCATACATTGCTTGATCTTGTCTTTCTGGAAGAATTGTTTAATGAAGATATTTTACCTCCAGCAGAAGAATGTGGTGTTTTTGAGCCACTAGCCTCTCGACGAAAATATTGCGGTACGTCTAAGTGCTTGCTAAGCAGTTGGAAAACATTTACTAACTAGTTATAGATATGGATCATCCACAAGGGCTAGGTCGACTTCAACATACTACCTGTGAGGTAATATTTACAGCACTAGTGCCAGTAAATATCAATGCTTGTCCGTTTATTTTATTCACATCTTATGGGATTCATAAACATCCTCCACCTCCTCCCAGCAAACCGCCAGAGCGAATCTTAAAGGGGGTTAAAGGTCTTATTCAACAAATACGTGATCCAAGCATGACTACTGGTAAATATAAGTACTTCCTAAATACTTGATAAGTGCTTATAAACCGGTTACTGTAGCACAGTTTCTTCGAAGTCCCCAACTACAGGCATTTTGTCAGCAGCATAATGCCTCAACCTTATCAGATATCCATCAAAGCTTCTCTAATAAAGATAGAATATCTGCTATTATACAAAAAAATCGACTTCTGTCCTACCCTGCAGGTCAAGATATTAATGGCCTTATTTTTCTTAAGAATAATGAGCCATTATTACAGGTAAGTAACATTAATCAGTTGCTGACTGCTTGCCAAGTGCTTAATAACTAGTTATAGGATTACATTCAAGAGCAATATCACGATTCAAATGGAAGCATGATTCTATGTGCTTTTAAAGAGCAAATTGAGCTTCTTTTTAAACTGTCTTCATTTGAAGTTGATATGTCCTACAAGCGCATACGATCCAATAAAATGAATGAGGTTCTTTTTGCAACATTCTTACATGAGCAGAACAAAAGTAAGTGTTTTGTAAGTGCTTCCCAACTGGTTACTAAGTAATTAAATAGTTATAACATTGCTTCGAATTTTTACTGATCAAGACTCAACCGAGGGTTATTGTTTACTGTTTAAACGAGCCTTCTCACTGATCAAGAAAATAACCAATAAGCAAGTTACTTTTGACTCTATTCATGGATCTGGAATCTGTGGGATTATTGTTGATATGGATTCAAAACAATACTCGGGTAAGTACTTATAAACTATTTAATAACTACTTATTAAGTATTTATTTATTAGGACTTGGTCAATATCTTCAAGAAATTGATCCACAGCATCATGATTATGTCTGGCAATTACAGCATATTATCATATTTTGTCGAGTTCATTTTCAACGATCAATTCTTAAGGCTATTGGGTCAAAGAATAAAGGATCGAATCTTTGGTGTCGAATGATGAGCCTTTTGGATGCTCAAAATGAGAAAGATTATGATGAACTATGTAATTTGTTGATAGGTAAGTACTTTATAACTGCCTATTAAGTGGTTAGAAATTACTTAATTATTTATTTTACAGAATTTGAGTCTCCAAAGGTACGGAAATGGGCTGCACACAAAAAGCAAGCTATTATTAAAGCTGGTCTTAATAAAGCCTGCTCCGGGATCTCTCCATTTATATATAATTCCTTACGGAATCATACAAATGCAGTGGAGCAATCACATCAAAAATCTTATGCCTCTGGAAAATATCTTTCTTTAACTGAAGCAGTTAAAAAGTAAGTACAAACTACCTAATATACTTAAGTACTTATAGCTAAATATTTTTAGTTCTGCAAAGTTAGATAAAGACGACATCAATCAGTATGTTAATAATCGGTTATTCGGCGTGCATCATTCATATAGAACATCAAGCATGAGAAATAATTATCTTCGACATATGAGCCGTGGTAAGTACTTCTAAAGTACTTTTTAAGCACTTATTAACTGCCTAGATTCACGCAAACGCCGCCGATCGTCATCAAATAATACAGATAATAATGATCAGGAATCCTCAAGATCGCAAAGATCGGTTTCTGAGACTCGATCTCAATCGGGTTCAACTCTACAAGATAATGAGTAAGTGCTTACCAAGCACCTGTAAAGTAGTTACTAACCACTTAACTAGATCCTCAGTCTCCTCAAGTCTTCGTCGGGTTGCGTCTGCAAATATTTTGTCACTTGAGCAAAAGAAACAGGACCTAGAGCTTCGAAAAATAGAGGCAGATATAAAAAGACAAGAGGAGGAAACACGCTTAATGGAATTAAAAAATAAGCAATTGGAATTAGAACTGATTGAGAAGAGGCGTCAATTACAGGAAAATAATTAATAACTGGTTATTAAGTACTTATTTGTATAAACCTTGCTAAAATATTATAGGGTATCTACAATAGGTCAGAAGAATTGGTATCAGAATAGAGGAACTAAGTTAGAATTAAATAGGCGACAGTTATTACGCAAAATAGCTAGATACATGCAATATATATATAGCCAAGTGAACCCTGTATTAATAACCTGGTTATCCGTGCTGAGGTCAGAGTTATATTTGTATTAAATATATATTGCAAGGCATATGCTAAAAAGGTAAAATAAAATAAAGTTTAACTGCTAAGCAAGTACTTATTTATTATTAAAAAAACAGAAAGGCGCAACGGGATGTCGGAGCCATACTATCTACAGGTAATAAGGGGTGGCAGAGAACCCAAACCCTGGTAAACCGGTTAACAACCACTTACTATCTGCTTAAGCCATCTTCTCTAAGCACTAGAACTGTGAGTAGGATAAATATTATTACAGTCAAACATCCAAAAGTGATCACACTTGTTTATGTCCTTGCAGCAATTCGCTTTAACCCCACAAGAATTGCATGGTACTTGGAGATTCATCTCAAGCACCTTTGCACGCATATTGGTAACATGAACCTAAGTACTTTATAAGCAGTTACTAACTACCTATAACCAGATATTACATACCGTGCCATCCTTTTTCAAAGGCAATTTTGGCTTAGGCGTGAAACCCATAGAGCGATGAGGGGAGGAAGCAGCAATTGAAGAGTTCGCGGGGGTAGAGTGCCGGGGTTCAATGCCAGCGAAAAGATTTTTGTACCACTCTAAGTAAGCAGTTATTAAGTAGTTGGAAACCAGTTATAAAGCATTTAATAATAACCTACTTGTGGCCTCATCAACCACCTTTGTTCCAACACGACCGCCAGAGTTCTCAGGGCAAGTATAGGTTTCGTGGGACAGGATATGGGTACGCAAATTATTGGTGGCAGAATATTCCTTCTAAGTGATTAAAAATCACTTAGCAGTTGCTTTACAAACGTTTAAGAGTCACTTACCTGGGCCTTTGCGCAGTCAGGGACACGGCAGAACCTTTCACCATAGTAAATCTTGATCACATTATTTTCCTATATTAAGTGATTAAGAAGCAGTTAATAAGCAGTTAGACGTACTCAGAGAGTTAAAAGGCAAGGTACTGTAAAAGACTTACCTGTTCGTAGGTGGGAAGGGTAAGCCGACCGGAGGATACCTCTTTTAAGTACCATTGGTACCATTTCTAAATTAGCTGCTTAGATTAACTAATTACTAACCTTATTATAAGCAGATCTTAACTGATTTATACTTACATTCTTTGCCAAAGCAGCCATTCTGTATCTGTGTTGGTGGTGGGGATGTATGGTAGGTAATAAGGGTGAAAGGGTTTGGGCGACCCAAAAATTCTGTATTGGAGGTTGTGGGTCAGGCGACTCTCATGTGACTGCCAAGCGAATTTTTGGGTCGCCCGACCTATTCCGAATGCCTAACCGACCTGTAACCTGGTAACGTAACCGGAAAGCGAGTCGGACACGCAACCGAGTCGGACACCTTTGTATTGCATATAAATCGACACTTTTAGGACCTCAATATCTCAACCCATATTATAGTTATGCTGCTAATAATGAAATACTGCCTAATATATATGTGCTGTAAAAGTTTATATATTTTATTTAGAATTTTTAATATTTTTTCTAGCATGCAATACAGTATAATTTTAAATACAACTGTATTTCAAGCTCATCCTTTGTAATATAAGGAAATAGAAACTCTATGATGCCCTAGGCTTAGTATCTGCATATATACTATTATATCATTTTATATTATAAATATTAGGCCCTCCTGATATGTTGTTGTTGAGTTATTGATGTCCTAAAAAGTGTTGGTTTATATGCAATTAGACCTCGCCACGAACCGCGGTTCACCCTAACGAACCTCCCTACGACCCGCCCCATGGAGGTTCACGGGTCCTTGGGCACGACCCGCGAACCTCGCCCGGGCGGGTCGTTAGAGGGTTGGACCCGCGGAGGTTGAACCTCAGGTTGAACCTCACGCTTTAAACAGTGCAAACATCAGAAAGTCAGGAGTAGCATAAATTATATAGATTTTAGCTGTAATTTTGAGTATTTAAATTACAGCATTATTGTAGAGTCTGTGTTGTTAATTTTAGAATAATTAAGTTATAAATACTTTTTTATTATCTAATAACTATCTACTTTGTTTATATCTATCAAGTAATTTGGAATCTTACGACTCTCCCTATAATCTGTATCTCTGGTAGAGGGATTACCTCCTTATTATTATTTATCTTATCTTTTTAAGCTGTAGATTCTTATCCACATCCTCACTTATATTACTTAGGCGCCTTTTACCTAGTGCCTTCCTAGACAGTGCCTGAAGGTTATAGTCCTCTGTGGACGCCCTTTATGCTCTTATTATCACTAATTGGATAAAGGGGATTTGTTGCGGTGTTTTTTCCTCCTTTGCTGCCTGTATTTTTAATTTAATAAATATTTAGATAGCAGCACACGCTCTCTTTTTAAATCTCGAACTTTGATATACAATATAATTATAAGTTCCTGGATTTTTAGGTTGTAGTAAGCCTCGACGATAATAACAGACTCTCGTGCAAGTTAAAAAGCCGCTCTACTCCTGTACCACTGGCTGGAATAAAAAATATCGCGTGCAACACTTGCATCCAGGATATTAACTGGTATCTTTCCACCAGGTTCGAGGATGGCATGTGGGACAGTATCTATAAAAAAGTAAAATTAGTCCTTATTCCTAGGTAGGTTTCTAGATACTACTGCTATTAAGATATCTTGTAAGCTTATCTGGTTTTTGTACCTGTGGAGTTTAGATTGCTGTACTCCAATGCACAGGCTAACTCAAGCTCTTTAATTTAACTACTAGGAGTATCCAATGTTTCCTGGTCCTTAAAATCGGAATACTTGTATATAGGACTAAGGCTCTGGTATAGTTTGCTTGTAATTGACTTAGGATTATCTGGCTCTGGTCCAGTTATTGGTTATAAAGAACTGCATTTTGTCCTGTGGAGAAAGGATTGTACAATTGATAGAGATAACATTAATCTTGTTAGTGTTTTTATAGTAAACCACAAGCTTTTCCCTGCTGCTTCTAAGGATTCAAGATTAGCTGCTTCCAAGCAACTTTTTTGTCTAAGCTGTCGCATTACTTCTCGAGGTGATAAATAGCTTATTATAAATCTTAAAGACAAGATGAATAGTAACATCCTTTGTCTTTAATAAAAGGGTTGTGAATCGGTGGAAAGGCTAAAAAATGCAAAGAAAATAATTAACTTGTTGCTATTAATCCTTACTAAGTGCAAAGTGCTCCTGGTCATACTGGGAGTAAAAATTATTAAAGACTTGCTGAAGTTTTTTAGCACGTGTAAGTATTAAGAAAGTTAAATTCTATTAAGTGGTAACATCCTGGATTGGAACAAGCTTCGGCTCCTTTATTTGCAAGTTGTAAAAAGCCTCTCGCCGCTGAGGGCTTGCATTAATGTAAATTGCAAGACTGCGGACCTAAAATAATAATAAGTATAATAAAACTAAGTTAGTTTAAGATATCTTATCTTGTTTAAGGTATCTACAATATCCTATTTCTGCTACCTTGCACGAAGATTATCCACATATTCATCAGACCATGCCTCCTTAGCTATATTATTTTTTGGAATAGCCTTTATCTTCCCAAGAAGATCTTTAAGGCTAAGCTGGATCACATGTGCCATGCATGGTACCCGAATAACAGTAATATTATTATCTGATTAAAGTGACTCAATTGCCTTTTAAATACTTGTTAATAGTGTCTTGTTATTTAATGCATTATTAGTGGTAATTAAAAGCACTCGGTCTGTGATTTGATGCTCCTGGAGTAGCTAGAAAAGGACTTTACTTAGATTTGCACCAGTATAAGTTCCATGTAGGTGTTTAAACCTAAGTAATATCTCACGATACTCCCATTGCTTATCAAGAAAGTATCCTGTGATAGCTATAAATGCCTGTCGAAATGGAGATGTCTAGCAATCAAGAGCAAGTAATAGCTTAGCACCAGAAGGAAGTGTTTTAAGGATATCTCTTTGCTGCTCAGAGACTAAGCCTCGAAGTTGTCGGCGCATAACCTTAGCAGATGGAACTTCTAGTATTAATGGGGCAAGCCGGGTATACAAGAGGAGATCGCGGAACTCAGGGTGTTCGAGAAAAAGAAATAGAAGATGTGATATAGTAAAAAGTTTAGCAAGCTTCTGCTGCCAAACACGCTGGTCGAATTTCTGTACTGGCGCTTTCTGAGCCTAGGGTAAGAAGCAAAGGTTAGTATAAATTAGTTATAAAAAGGGATAATACATACAGCATGCTCTATTGCAAGCTTAATATTTAGCTTCTTTTTAAAAGCTTTCCGACAATTAAACCTATTATAATGCTTGTTTATTGAAGACGTTCCTTTATAGGTCCATGCAGGGTGATCAAGCACCTTCCAATATTACTGGCACATAACTCCAGGCTTTCCATCTTTCTCCTGGGCAACTTGGTTAAAGTGTTCCCAGCACTTTGCACCACGTTTTGTATCCCAAGCTATCTGTTTCTTCTTCCCAAAATCAGTCTGTAACCACCAGTTCACAAATTCGCTACCCATTCCCGGAGAATACAAAATAAATGTTCGAATCCGATCAGGGTAAATACGAGTCAGGCAGTTAGGTGCTAGGAGAGGCTTAAAAAATGGTTCAACAGTCTGCTGGCTTCCAGAAGGAACAGGGGAGTAAGCTGAGTTGAGATATTATCAGCAATATATTCAAGATAATCTGATAGGGGCCTATAAATGGAAGTAGAGAATGCATTAGAGAATTAAGACATAGTAAAAACAGTTAAGAGAAGGACACTAGGACTTTTTTAAAATTAGCCAAAGGCTTTATGGGTAGCAACGTCTGGCATATTCTAGCTAAGTATTCAGCTGGTTAATAAAGTTGATAGATCACATTATATGCCCCACATTAGCCACAATTTCTACAGCTAATTGGCTAGAGTTGAGGTTTATGAGGTTCACCTTAAGGTTTATAAGGTTTACCCTGAGGTTTGTGAGGTTCACTCGTTCACCCAGGGGTTGTGATGTTTGTAGTGGTATTGCCCTCCGATTATTCCTAAAATATTTCTTTGGACCACTGTTAAACAGGCAAACTTAGAGAAAGAATAAGCTTATATTATTCAGTAGTCAGTAGTTGATGATCCTAGGTAAAGCCGAAGGCTGACGCTTGGAAAGGTGAACCGGTACAGTGAGCACCAGGAACCAGGTGTACAGTTCTAACTTTATAGTGTAGCGGAGGAACATGGAGTGCAGTTAGAAACTTGTGGGCTCGGGGCCTACAACTTTCGAGAGGATTTTATCTGGAATCCAGAGGCATAGAAATAATAAGATTAGCTAGATTTCTAGGTTATATAGTGCAAAAATATATTGGAGATAGTGGTATATAGTTTATAGTGTACTTACCTTCTATGTTTAAAATATATTTCTATATTATTACTAACCAAGCTTACCAACTTTTCTAAAACCACACCGCATTAATTATTTTAAAATAAATAAATGGACTTGTCTACTATTACAGTGGAAGAATGTCTATTAAACATATATATTTCAAAAAATTACATAGGAGTTTAATAAATAATACTAGATTTCTGATCGGGCATACAGAACAGGTATAAGAAACAGTAATCTATTAGTATATGTATAATTTTATCATCCTATTTAGGAAATGTACAGGAGATTAATGCATATGCGGGTTATGAGGTTTGCTTGGAGGTTCACCCGCTGAGGATTTTATGAACCTCCGGGTCGGGTCGCGGGTCCTGACTAGGGACCCATGGGGAGGTTCATGGCGAGGTCTATATGCAATACAAAGGTGTCCGACTCGGTTGCGTGTCCGACTCGCTTTCCGGTTACGTTAGTTAACTAACGTATTCGGTAAGCGAGCCGGCCATGTATAAAATCTACTAGGGTTTTAGTAGTTCATATGATTTTCGGGTGGTATAAGATAGTAAATAACTTTCGTAGCATGCTATGCCCCGACAGGATGTCTAAACCAGGTCCAGAAGGTTCTATCAGATAGTTAAAAGAATGAACATACACTAAGCACATATCCGCATCTAGGCTGACCGTTGGGAAGGGAAATTCCCATGGGAAATCGGGATGGGATTCCCGTCCCATAAAAACGGGACGATTTTCTAAGATTTTATGGGAATGGGAATGGGAAGGGAATGCCAAGAGATTCCCACTGGGATTCCCCCTTCTTTCTGGATGGGAATTGGGGTAAGAAATGGGATCACACTTACTAATGGGAAGGGAATGGGAATTTGGGAAATTCCCTTGGGATTAGATGGGAACTTCCCATACTAAATCACGTGATCAATAATTACTGTATATACTGTATAGTTACTACTAAAAACTGCTACTTTAAAAATATACTAAACCTACTTAGGAAATGGGACGGGAAATGGGAAGAGTATTTTTTTATAATTTAGGGATGGGATTTCCCTCCCATATTTCTTGATCCCATCCCGAATCCCATGTAATGGGAATCCCATCCCATATTGCTTGGCACGGGATGGGAATCCCTTCCCATTTTCTTGAGACGGGATTCGGGACCATCCCCAGGATCCTTATGGGAATATGGGACGGGACCAGACCTCCCTCGGGATCCCGAATCCCTCCCAACGGCCAGCCTATCCGCATCTCAATGGACCTTCAAGAGGCTGGTCCTGTCTTCTCATACAGATCCATCGTATCGCTTCCTCCACAATACTGGCGACCATCGCCGGAACAAAGATAGGAACAATTAGTTAGAAACTCTTCCTTAGCGGTAGACGACAGTGTATTCCCGCAGTAGCATTCGCTATAATACTCCAGGCCAAAGTACCTGCTCCCGTCGCAGAATCCCGCGCAAGCATCCACGGTCATATTATTCGCATAGTGGAACGAACCATAGAGGGTTCTATTACTGCGAGAGTCACTGTAGCAGCCGTGATAGTGATAGCCTGTGATATTAGGATGAATAGGAGCCACATAAGTCGTGTCCCGATAGACACTGAGTCGAAGCGGACCACCACAGATCTCAGACGGATTACCTGCACACGGTGTCTGACAGTCCACTTGAGCAGTCTCGTTCGTTCCGGGTACCCATGTATTCCCGCAGTAGCACTCCGTGCCATATTCAACTCCGAACCAATGATATTTCGCGCAAAAGTGGCACATCGTTCGACCGTCATGGCAGTATCGGTGGTTGCAGCACCGGTGAGCATCCGCGGGGAGACGGAGTCAGCTATGCAGCTCTCATAGATGAAGGTGCTGGAGTTGGATCCGCCGCCGGAGCAGGTTGAGCCCAGATCGGCGATGCTGTAGAAATGGTCGACTACCTGGGTTGCTCCACTGCCCGTAGAGAGGTCAAATCTTCCATGGGCTACTTGACTGGCATCGATCAGGTAGCTTGCCGTGAGGAGGTCATATGCGCCTACTCTCTGCCGATGAGCCATGGGAATCGAAATGGTCGTCAGGGACGGTACTACACAGCAACTGCGTGGCGTATGCACAGTTAGAGTCAACTCCGCCAATGTCATATTACTGTCTGTTGTTCTCACCTGGAACAAGTGAGTCAGGTTCCCTTGGGTTTGTAGATGAACTTACAGCTGCCACGACCGTCACATTTTTTTTTTGCACTGCCGTCCGTTGCATCTGCCAGACAGCTTTGCGCAGACTGCAGCATGATCGTATCCTGCACCGGATACAGGAAGCCATTGTTGTCATGGAGCTCGACGACACCGTTGGAAAAGTGAATCTGCACAAGAAAAGTCGAGATAGACAAACTGACTGGAGAGAGGTCGAAAATCCGTAGAACTATACGATGATCAGCAATCTATTCTCCTTCAAGAACTAGAGTCGTGACTTACAGCGAAGGTATCGTCAAACCCCGCTGCAGCTCCCTTATATTGACAATCAGTTGCACAGGGGCCACAACTCTTCCCCCGAAGCGGTCATGGAAAAGTAGTCGGACATGGGATATCGCATTCACCGAACGGAAAGTTGTACGCACTCGGATTTGCCCGGAGAATTGTACATTTTCCCCAAAATCTAGCAGAGACAGTTGTAGATGAACGGGCTTCACCTCATAAGGCACAATGGGGTCTGTCAACACCACACCCGAGGGAACCACCTCGATCATCTGTTGGAGGAGGGAAGCACAGGTGGATCGGAAAGTCGTTGGGTCCGTGAGAGTCCGGATGGTGACGTTGCCGTCAGCCGTGAACACCTTGGTATCCGCGTCGCGGGAATTAATCCTTGCGAGGTTCCCCGTGAGAGGATTTCCAAGGACGTGATGCACGAAATCCGTTACGATCTTCTCATCGAACGCAGCGGTTCCATCCAGCAGTTGATAGTTGTGTGCTACGGATCCCGGGGCGAGGATCTTGGGGAAGTTGTCGGCATGCACGCCGCCGAGGGTATGTCCACATGCAGTCAATGCAATCATTCCCGAGGTGTTGAATCCGGTGCGCAGGAATTGGTTTATGAATGTTCCCTGCGAATTTTGCGGCTGAGGCACTCCCACAGGGCCAGCGGTGGTGGCATCGATACGTCCTGCGCGGATGGGAATGATGGGTCCGCCGCAGGACCGAACAGCTGTGTAGACGCCCATGGCGATGAGGTCCGCCATGGACGATCGGGATGATAGGAAAGGGGTATATGTCTCTAGGGTAGTATTGAAGCCAGCACCGATATTTTCTCCCCATCCCCGCCCAACTCGAACACCAGTGAGGCATCTAGTCCGCCGATGCCGGTGTAGATACTCCCCGTGGCCATGTCATGGAAGGCAGTCCGAAGCCATTCAGCAGAGGCAATTCGTGAGGGACCCTGTTGCGAGAAAGAACATGGGGTGACACCAGCCGAGAAGGCTCGTGCCTGATAGCCTCTCTGGAGGAACATAATATCCTCCAACTCGTCAATGGATGCAGGCCAGGAGGGAGCGACCTTTGAAGCCACATAGCCAGCACAGAGCAGGATTGTACTACAGATATGAACCATATTAATTAGTTACTAGGGATAAGCAGACGGAGATATCACCTTACTTCTACATGCAGGGGAAGGGTCTATTTATGTTCGTTAGAGCCGACAGGCCAGTCTCCATTGGGTCATAGGCACAAGTATGAGTGGCCATTAATTATAGGAACCCACGGTGCCCTCTGCAGCTATTCTTGCACGCCAGGTGACTCCGATGGTGCCCAAATATATTCACATCTACAGTTCTAGTCCGGATCCCCGGATCCTAATGCCGATTGGTAGAGGTATGAGCCACCGTCTTACAGATGTCTAACCTCATGCCTCTAAGCAAGAGAACTACAGATACTGCTATATATAAGTGCTAAATTTACGGCAAAAGGGCCACTCTCGCAACTCATTCTACAACCCAGGTACAGAAAAACCAGAAAATGAGGGCCAGCCCCCAAATGTCCCGGGTCGCCGCCGATGCGCACAAACTGGCTTATGGAAGGCATACCCTGATCGATCACAAACAGCTGAAACCACCCAGGGGACTGGTATGCGCATCCGGAGGCGCCGTGATCGTACACGTCGATCCGATACAGGAATACGCCGGAAAGATAGTACGCTGGCCAAAACTATTCCCATGAGTGCTGGAAACCATTCCTAGCAGCGAAATCCGGGAAACATTCCCTGAAGCGATAGTGATCTGATAGTTCTGTCCATACACCCAGTCCCGCTCAGTGATTGTGAAACTGGGTCGCGGCATCCCCGAGAGGAAATACGGTGGTAGGAAGACCTCGACGCGGTATTCCTCGGGATAGTCCGCATCCTGGGGATCCGAACCAGACACGAGGACACGTCCGTCAGGGAGCAAAATGGCCTCGGAGTGGTACATGCGCGCGATTGTTGTGTTAGCCATCACGCTCATGCGCTGATTTACGGGTTTGGATGGGTCGTAGAGCACCGCGTTGACATTAGGATCTTTGGCGAGTCCGAAACCCGCTACGCCTTTGTGCGCGCCATTGAGTATGAGATAGGTTCCATCGGGTAGCGCTGTCATACAGGTGAGGACTCTTTTGAGGGCTATCCAATAACTGTTAGCCTGCGAACTCTATCGCTGATGAAGAAGTTGGGGATGGCTCACCATGCGTTCCAGGGCCCACTGGGGATTGGAGGCTTCCGGTTGCATTGAGACACAGTTATCGATCGCGTCACCACCAAAGGGGTTGAACCACCGCAGATGAGCACCGTCAGCGGATCCACATAGGGAGCCGACTGGGGCAGAAGCACCATGGTGCCTTCGAGAGGATATGTGCGGCCGCCGGCGTCATTGTTCACGGCACCGGGGATGTTCGGCAAAGTCTTGATTGTGGTGAAGGTGTTCTCGTTGAGAATGCGAGCCTCGTTGTAATACGCGACGAAGATACCGCCTCCCGGCAACGGCGTCATGAAAGGATAGAGATTATTTGGATCTGTTCGATTCAGCCAGTCCATATAGAGTACCGGGCCTGCTCGAGGCAGGATCTCAAGGGTAGGAACTGGAGGCCCGTTGGATCCATTCTCGCCACCCACTACGAGGACGGACCCATTGGTCATGATCATCCCAGTAGGATACCAGCGCCCATTCTGCAGGGTCAATTCCTGAGCATTCTCTTCCCAATCAAGTCTACTAGGTTGGCCAGCAGAGCCATCAGGCCAGTAAAGTCTGATTCCATATGTCGAGACACCTGACCAGCCTCCGATTGTGAGCTGACGACCGACCTTGTCCGGCAAAACCAGGCCAGCGGAACAAAAGATATCTGATTTTACGTGCATCGGCCGCCACGCCAGGCTGAAGTTTCTGTCGAAGGCCGGATCGAACTCATACGCCCCGGTGGTGTTGGGCGCCCCCGTGCCGAATTTCTCCAGGAAGGTGACTTTCCCATTGATATTGAGGGTGGTCATCAAAGGCACCACGACGCCGCCGATAAGAAACTCATATCGACCGGCTGCTGACCCGACAGGATGGCTCCATTGCTGCAGTGGTGTCCCTGTCCAGCGATAGTAGGTAATGCGGGCACCCGCACCGCAGATGGCCCGTAGATTGCCGGGACATGGCATGGTGCATTCGGATTCGGGGAGCAGCTGCAGGCCATTTGCATTGCTAGCATCGCCGCAGTCTGCGATCTCTATTAGTATCACTATGGCGGGCATCTGTCCTTAAGGAATACTAGACTAACGTACAACATTCTTCGCCGAACTCCATTCCTGCAGCCCCGAATCCAAATGCCGCGCATCGGCTCAGACAGGTTGTGGCGCTGTTGTTATGCTTGTACACAATCTGGTAAGGAAAAGTGCGGGCATTATCGACATTGTCCCTGAATACTGGTTAGCCAATCATGCAGCTGGGTCGAGTCAGCGGACAAACTCACGGTAGGCAGCCGACATACTGCCAGGAACCCGGCAGATCGGTTGTCTGTGGTGTGGGCACAGGAAGCACTGTGAAATTGCCCTGATAATAGACGCTCAGACGATCGGGACCGCCACACATCTCACGCATGTTGCCAGCGCAAGCCATGTTGCACTCCGACGATGGCCGGAGCGAGGCTCCATTACGTACATACTGATCACAGAAACATTGAGAGGCATACTCCATCCCGGCCACGGTGTAGTTGAGTCGTGTGCAGGTGGCCACGCAGGATTCCACCGTCATGGCTTTGTTTTCGGGCTGCATATTCATCATGACACGGCCATTCAGATTGTCCTCATAGCATCCTGCGTAGGTCCATCCCGTGGGAAGGGCCGTGACGACAGGGACACTCGTCGTCGTTGATGCCGGGAGGGTGGTGACTGGTATCGTCGTAACAGAGGCAGCCGTGGACAATGTAACGGTATACCGGTAGATATTCAACCGGTCTGGCCCTCCACAAGTCTCCTGCGGGTTGCCATTGCAGGTCATCGTGCAATGTGCGTTGCCGTCCGACGCTGGACCACCCCCGTTCTGCAGAGCGGTGTCACAGAAGCATTGTCCTGAATATTCGACACCTGCCAGAGGATATCCAGCGGAGAGACAGCCCGCTTCACAGTTTTCCACCGTCATGTTTGCTGGCCCTCCCTCCGTGTAGCCTGTTTGAGAGAGCGTGCGGGCTCTCGTGGAGTCAGTATAACAGCCCAGGCTTATCCATCCCTGGTTCTCTGGAGGGGGATTGTCAAAGCAGTGCTTATGATGCTAAAATAGAACCAATGCGACGTGGTTAAACCCATGATTGCATCCCGGCTCTCTAGACGGGAGACATCAAAACGAAGGGTAAATAATTTGGAATCCCGGATACCATCGATCGAGGAGTCATCACCAGCGAATCGGTCACTTTAGCTGCAATTCCATGCCAAACCCCTTATATGCCAAGGGCTGACAGACATTCTCCAGTTTTTCATATCCCTGAAAGCGCTCGGATCCGAATGGGCCCAGAGTGACTCGTGGTTTACTCCGGGTTATTGACTGTGTCTACAGCGGGCCATTTTGGCCAAATAGTCTACTCTGTCCAAAGGCGAGGGATAAATCTGGTCATCCTAACCAATCGCTTCAGCACGATGAAAAATACGCCAAGCCACTAGACCTTGCTCTTAGGCTGCAGAGTCGAGACGAGGTTACATTTTCACGTTTTTCTGCCAAAAATAGTTGTTCTTATCTCATTGTTCATGCACACTCTCCTCTGGTTACCCCTCTTCTCTCTACTCGCCACTACGACTAGGGACAGGCTCCCTCCTGCCACATTCTCACCGACTGAACCGTCATCCCACGACTACTCGAATTAGGCCAAGTTGGATACCAAGTAGGAAGAGCTTCGTAAAAGTCCAACGCAGAATTACCGGAATCAGTCCAGGGCTTGTTTCCCACGCCATCGCGGAACCAACCATTCCGACCGCCCACCGCCACATTCAGCACCAGATAGAAGGGCTGGTCGAAGGGCGTATTGGGTCGGCCGTGAGATGACCAGGGATCACGTACGAGGGATGAGTTTATCGTCATTCCGGCAAACACTCCCTTCTCCCACATGGTGCGGTCCTTCTCGAACGTCCAATACAGGACCTGCTGCAGGGGACTGTCCACGTATGTGAAGAGGTAGTCCTGGGACCACTGCAGCCCAAATATGTGAAATCCCTGGCTGAAATCCGTGCGGCGCAGAGCTTTACCCCGAGTCGCTCGCCAGAAGGAGTCTGTCTGTGCGGTGGGACCTGCGTGAAGACGATATCGAAGGTTCCTTGTTAGCGAGAGCGTTCTAAGACAACGTTAAGACGGGGAGTGCTATACCCCAGTGCATAGAACTGCTTATTACATCGCGGCCATCTAAGGGATAGTTTACGTCATTGCCGCGACTTTCGGCGATATCAATTTCACCACTGGCGGGCCAGGATCCGTAAGTGTCATTCACGGGCATCATCCCTAGATTGCAATCAGCAGCCGCGATCGAGGAAGAAGAGCTGGAAGCCGTACAAATAGCAGGCCAAAGCCAGTCGCCAGTGGGAAACTTCGCTGTCACCTCGACTCGGCCATACCGGATACTCTTGGTGCCTCTGGTATTCAACCGGGCTGACCGGACTGGAGGCAGAATCGTACCAAGCGTATGGTTAGATCGAACACTGCACTCGTCGTTGCTGGTTCCCGTACAGGAGCCATCGCCATGGGCTTTCGTCAAGTTCAGAGAGAACCCGTCCAGGATCTGATCGGAAGTGATCTTGGTGGTCTCGGTGGTCAATGTCGGAACAATATGCAGTCCCTCTGCATCAACATAGGAATTCTGATTGTCAGACGTTGTCCAGTCAAAAACACCGTTCCCAAAGCCATTCACCTAAGACACCATGAGCCCATGTATTCCGCGCAGAGAAGAGTCGGACTGACCTGGACCTCGTGATTCCACACATTGGTATCGAGGGTTTGGAAGTGGTCGTCTAAAATGAGACAATACTGAAACTTAATAAGCTTATCCAATCTTCTACAATACCAGACAAACAAGACGACTTACTGACTGCTTGGGCACTTTTCGCGTCACAGAGTAGTTGATATACCCGCTAAGCACAATGCCCACCGCGATGCATCCCCAGATGATATAGTTCCCACATCGGGTGCGATAAAGCCTCGGGTCGTCCTTCCAGGGTTGCTCGTACTCCCCTTTCAGGCGATAAGATTGGAGTCGTCGTCTCGCCAATGGACGCAGTCCGCTCGATGACGGACCTTCAGATCGCTGAGACGCACACGAGTTTATTTGGATCGATGTTGCTCTACTCGCTGTGGCGCTGTCAGTGAATGGATTCCGCGGAGGCTCTGTTATGACTTTCTCCATTGTAGTGCGTGAAATTTTCTCCGATAGCGATGCAACACCCATGAGTGTAGATATTCGAGTTGATACATTACATGAGTCGTAGATTATTTAGTCGAAGTATCATCCACACAATGTGCATCACACGCCAGTGAGAGGGGTCTAGACGTCCCCATGGCACTCAGACTGCATGCCACTACTGCATGAGAGTGACAGGGGAGTGACGCGGAAATTAGATAGTGCGACGATTGGCAGTGGATCATTCGGCGAATTTTTCTCTCAGAAATGCAAATCAGCATGGTCCTCGTAAGGGTCCGGACCGTAGCGGATATGCAGGCGGTAGTATGTCTCCGCCTCTTTTACTTGTGGTGATATGCATGAGAGTCCAGACAACGCAAAAGGACCCTAAAATGACAATGTGGCCCTGGAGGCAAACCACTTTATTCGTCCCTCCTATGGCGCTATCTTCGTTTAATTTCTGTTATCTCTGTTATCTTCTCTGTGTCTGGTGGCCTGTGGATTCCTTTGCGCTATACCTGCAAATATCATGTGTCAGAAATCCCAAGGGAAATGGACAGTTCCATCTTTGGCACGCAGAGCATGGATAAGACAAGACAGCATCATCTGAAGAGCTAAGGACGCGTGAATGTAGGTTGCCCATCGACCAGGGTACCCATTGGTGCAGAAGTCACGTCCAAATGGAGACCATTTAGAAACATACCCTTTTCAGCTGCTGCCATGATTGATGTGAGATGCCACTTGCACGGCTTCTGACAGCAAGAGTTGGCTAGCTGAACATGTTCTGTTTTTAATCTCCATGTGGCGTTGCAGCTCGTAACTTTTCTTCTCGGTCACCTGGCTCTGCCAACAGGTGAGATTCGCTTCAGTTAGCGTGAGTGAGCGACAACGGAGATATGTTTTGGCCAGGGGCATTTCTTCTTTAAGGCCGTGGAAGCGTATCAGATCCTCTCAGAGGGCACCCTCGTCTGGCAACATGAAGTTCCCTTGGACCTCTCGGTCGACCTCGACGCGGTCCCCAGTAGATGAACAGCCCACGGCATCCCGAGGCCATGGCGCTGAGGGGACGGAGACAGGATCTTCACGAAATTCTGTCGCGCCGGAGACATGGCTGGCGAGCATTAATATCGATGAGACATCCAGGTACAAAGCGGTAGGAGCTCTTTCTGCTTCGGTGCCGATTGAGTACACTTCAGAAGAACCAGCTCTAATGAGTATGAGCAGATTATCAAATTCCTGCACGCACGACTGCTGGCCTGTCAATGGATTTCCTCTACCGCCGACTCTCCGGCCCCGTGTCATGGCCTCCTGCTCCGACGGTCTCGAGGCGTGTACATCTCAGAGCCAGAGATAGTCAACCCCTTGCTTCTGGCGGCGGTTCAGGCGCTGAATGTCGAAGTCGCCTTCACCATGAGCACGGAGTCCACGAGGATTATTGCCTCGTCATTGCAGCCGGATCAAACTGAAGTCGTCCTCCCCAGTGGCTCTCAGCTGCAGGTTATAGATTCGATCCGGGACCTCTCTTCGTCTCCTCCGTCCCTCGTGAAGAAATTCCAATATGCGGCGCTGCTGCGGGAGGAGCATGTACTGTTGGTGTGGCATGACCGGCTGGAGAACATCCTGGATCATGTAGCCGACCTGGAGGAGAGGCTGCTGGCTTTGGTAAGAATAAATCCCCTGAAGACTCGTCTGCCGCTGACCCTAGAAACAATGTTGATCAGGTTTGCGGAACATCCTTACCTTTCTTCAGCACTCGCAATCGCTCCGTCCTGCAATCCCAAGTGACCTCTCCGGGCACATCTACCTCGCATCTATCCGTCGAGCCCGTCGAAAAATACCTCGCAGTGTCGTCAAAATCGAAGGCCGAGGAAGCATCTAAGACGGACATGGAGGCTGCCCCCCCTGCTGAGTCTCTAGACCGGCCCTTGGCGTTGACCAGCGCCATCTTTGTCGGTTTGGCGATGTGCCTCATGATAGTACTTCTGCTAGGGTTCGGTATCAGTAACCTTGTGTTTCAAACCTTGATCGATGGCGGCTTCATCCGTATGGCCTTGATCATCACCGTGCCCTTCTTCCTACTACTCAGCATGTTTTTCTTCGTCGTCCTCTTCACAGATCTCTTCCAGGCTGCTGGCCCCATCAAGACCCTCCAGACTAACTCCCGTTTCTATTCCGCCGTTCGTCCCAATCTGAACCGTGCTTGGGGGCAGGGCTTCACTCCCCACGGATCACCATCCAGATGCCTGTATACACGGAGTCATTGGAGGGTGTCCTCCTACCGACAATTCGAAGTCTCCAAGAAGCCGTCTCTCATTATGAGTCCCATGGAGGTAAGCAATCCCGTCTTGGGACATTTCTCGATGCTCCGCGAGCGTGCTAAATATTAGCCTAGGCAGCGCCACCATCTTTATCAATGATGACGGACTGGCGTATATGTCCCCGGAAGAGCAACAGGCTCGCATCCACTTCTACCACGACAATAATATTGCCTGGGTGGCCCGACCCCAAAACAATAGCGAGGATGGATACGTCCGGAAAGGCAAGTTCAAAAAGCATCGAACATGAATTTTGCGCTGAATGTCTCCAACCGCGTCGAGGACGAAATGCTACATCGTCTGGCGCAGCATCTGTCAATCAGCGATCTGATCGATCCGGCTGAAGAGGCTGTCTGCTATCAGCGAGCCCTAGAGCACGTCCTCGAATCCGACCTGCGTATCCACGCAGGAGGCGATATTCGTATCGGGGAGTTGATATTGATCGTGGACTCGGATACGCGAGTAGTAGGTCTTGTCACGCTTTCTTTCTGGGATTTTCGTGGCTGATCTGTTCACAATAGCCTGTTGATTGTCTGCTCCATGGCGCGGTGGAGATGTATCTGAGCCCGGAGGTAGCCATCGTACAGCATGCAACCGGCGTCATGCAGGTGTCCTGGGATTATTTCGAGAACGGCATTGCCTTCTTCACGAATCTCATCTATTCCGCTATTCAGTTTTCCGTGGGCAGTGGGGAGACCGCACCCTTTGTGGGTCACAATGCCTTTTACGATGGAAAGGTAGACTATATTTCCACCTCCCATCTCTCCCAAATGCTGAGTAACAATCGTAGCGGTGCAATCCGTCGGCCGTGACGATCCCGATGGGTATGTGACCTACTGGTCTGAGAGCCATGTATCAGAAGATTTCGACTTGGCCCTGCGGCTACAGATCGCCGGCAATGTTATTAGACTCGCTAACTACCACCACCGTGAATTTAAGGAGGGTGTCTCTCTCACTATTTACGATGAACTTGCACGATGGGAGAAGTAGGTGACCCGTCCATCCTCCAGTGCAATCCTAATGTATAGAAAACAGATATGCGTACGGTTGCAATGAACTAGTCTTTAATCCCTTGCGGACGTGGCTCTGGAGAGGTCCTTGTACCCGACTCTTCATGACTTTTCTCTGGTCCAATCTCCAGCTCTCCTCTAAGCTCACCATTCTCGGTTACATCTCCTCGTGTTTGTATCCCTTTGGTTGAGCAGCAGGGATCTCTACTGACTGACTGCCTAGACTATGCCATTGCATCTGGATTCCCTTTAAGCATTCTGAACTACTTTCTAGTCGGTTGGTTCAATGGCTATCTGGATAAATTCTACATGGAGTCCTGGAAAAGTATGGATCGTACATAATTATGAAGATGAATAGCTAACGCTCTAGTTTCAGTCTTCCTCAGTCTCATCATCGTATTCTCCGGCTTCGGCAACGTCACCTTAGCCATCATCCGCTATCGACTAGGTGAGAAAAGTCTGGGGCCCGCATTACTAGAGAATTTTAAATGGATGCCCATGTTCGCTATCTTCTTCGGCGGTCTATCCTTCCATCTATCGCGGGCGATCCTGGCGCACATGTTCAGCATCAATATGCAATGGGGCACCACAGCGAAAGAGAAAATCAACTCAAATTTCTTCAAAGAGATGCCCAAGATCTTCCAGACGTTTAAATGGCTGTATGCTGTCCTTCTTCCCTTGGTGCTTGGCATGATCTATCTCGGGTGTTTTGCCCCAGGGGTGGGAGATCACTTCTGTTGCTGCTGTCGTGCCGGCGTCCGTTATGATTGTCTCACATGCGATGTTGCCGGTGGTGTTGAACCCTTCGTTGATGGTGTTTAATTATTAGAGCCGGCTAATTTCAGCTCTTAGATTACAAGTTGGCGGACGAATGCCAAACTGATGAGCTTTGCAGTATGTGGCAAATAATTTTTAAACTGGAAGGTTACACCCACGGCTGAGAATAGGTTTGGAGGAATAACTTTATACGTGTAAAGAGATACAGGAGCCAGTGGATTCAATATATATTGCTGTAAGAGAAACTAAACAGTAGATGGTATCTGTTTACTCTAGTTAGACTTGCGCTTTAAAAACTGCATTGCCATCCAAAACTGCAGCTATTGTATACTTCCATATACTGGGCACGCGGTGCTATTAAGATATGACGTACAGCTCATTTGTCAAGCTTCTACAGTATTTTATAACTTATAAAACTAAGATTACAATATTGCCATCTTCTGGGGACACTGACGGAGGACGGTCCGTGCCGCGTTCCACTCCATGGAGATTAGGAAATCATACAGGTATAGAAAGGGGAGTGAATGTAGAGCTTGATTGCCTGCAAGGACGTGAATACTATTCTTTTTTGGAAGGTTATGGGCTGGGCCTTACCTTCTTCCACGCTGGTCGCTGCAATCACCTTGATGGCCCACACTTCCTTAAACACGCATTCGCAATCGGAAAATATTCTCCGAAGATCTGGGATAAATTTTCCAATGCGTTTGTCGTTCAGGATCTGGGACCGGTAAGTATCACACACTCATGATGGGTTATATGTGAAATGATGGCAGTCGACAACGCGTACCACGTGTTCCGTCTTTGGGTCAACTGTTGTGTGCGCGATGATTCGGTAGAGCCTTTGAAACAGGGGCATGACCTCTTCCTCAACTTTTCTCTCTCCTTCCAGACTATACAGATTTAGAATCCCATGGTAGCCACTCCGGATGGTCTGGATACACGCTTCAGCGGTTTGAACATCTGGTATGTGCTCTGCACCTGGTTCTGCCCTTGCTTTGGAATATAGAATACCCATTGTAGTAGGATTAGAATGGGCCGTCACAAGAATATAGCAAATCTAGGCGAGGAGATCATAGATTCACGGACAAATTTCTGATATATTTATCAATCAATCAATCAATCAAAATTCTATTAACCTGATGGAGCCTATCTATTGAAACAACAAGCTATGCAGGCGCTTCGCCAAATGAAGCAGAATCTCGTGCCAAAATGCCGTATCCCATATGCAATCGCAGTGCAATGCAATGCAGTAGACAACTTAAAAAGTAAAACACAACTAAAGCAGCTGCCACACGTCTGCTGCGTGTCTACCGCGCCATCCAGTTGACGCTGCACTCCTCCCACTTCGTTTTATCTTGGTGTTCCTTGCCTTCCTTGAGAGGAAAGCCTTTCGTGCGTCACTGGCAGCTGCCTAACCCTGGCTCCTGCCTCCTTGTTTCCTTCTAACCATCGTCTTCCTCGTCCAGTACGAGCCCTTCTAGAAGGGTATTTGTATCCGGGGCCTCCTCGTCCTCCTCGCTAAGCTTAGCAAATAGGAACTGTTGGAGCAAGCCTGTTTGATGCATGAATTCGGCGATGTAGCGGATCGCCTGCGGATTCGATATAACTGCGTCGTAGTCCTGCACTCGCCCACGCAGCCCCTCGATCGTATCGAGGTGTCTTATCAGTTCTCTGCGACAGGCAGTGTGCAGCGGGCACTCCAAGAGGACGTGTCTAGGGGTCTGGGACCCTAGATCACACTCGCACCTGTCCGAGTCAACCTGCTTGATCTTGAAAAGGAAGTGCCTTAAACCTATCCTTATAGTGCGCATCTGCATGATAATCGAGGTGTGCGGCTTGCTAAGGTGCTTGTACAGCCTCAGATTCTTCTTGTCTGGCATGGGTAGGAGCCGCCTCGTCGGCTTTCCCACCCTTTGCCTCTCCCACTGCTTCGCCCACTGCGCACGAAGACTCTGCCTGACGTCTCGCTTTGCTGCTGCAGCGAGTCGTATAATTAGCCGTCCCTGAGACGCCCCCACTGAGCTTATTTCGACCGCAGCGCCTCTAGTAGCTGCGTCCTTGGCAGCCACGTCTGCCTGCTTATTGCCTTTGACTCTAATATGCGCAGGGATCCAGCGTATCTTAACATCTTCCCCTGCAGGGCCCTGCTGCCGCAACTCTTAAACCCTTGCATAGATCTCCCGCAGAGCATATTGTCCTGAGGGCCTCTTGGGATTCCCCATTGCCAGGATGGCTGCCTGGCTGTCCGCGAACACGGTGATTGGAGCCACACCTGATTGCTTAAGGGCTATACAGGCCCCTCCAGCTCGCCCACGTACACTATGGACTGCGATTCTGTCCCTAGGTGCTTTTTCAGGACCTTGCCAGCGCGGATGGAGACTGCTGCAGCTCCTACTCGTCCACAGTAGCCGCTTCTATCTAAATACCACACCTGCCGGCGTGTGTCCTGGCATATCCTGTTGTGGTCCTGTACTGCCTGTTCTGCGTTGCTGATGATGACGCACCGTAGGGGTAATTCCCACGGTGCAATAATGTAGGGTACTTGTGACTCCCATGTCTCCTCCCTGGCCCCTGAATAGAGTGGACCAGTTGTCTTCCACTTGAGTGCCTCCAGGGGGTGTAGCCAGATCGTTTAAATGCTGACATGCCTCTCTGGAGCCGCAGCCCCCTAGGGCACGTGTGGCTCGGGCCGGTTTAAATCCGAATGGCTGTTTCCTGGATGATTTGTTGCATCTGTATTTGTATAGGAGGGAGGTAAAGCTCCACCCCCAGCGCTGCTGCTGCCGTGTTTCAAAAGGCGCTGCTGATTAGTATTGCTGCGCGTGTTTGGATCTGTTCGAATTTGTTAACCACCTTGGCCAGTTCCGCGTGTTTAGCCCGTCCACTGGTAGGGCTATACCACGCAGTGATTCCGTAGAGCAACTGGGGGACTATTACTACTAGATATATTTGCCGCATAGCTAGCAGTGAGGTCCCCCAGGTCGACCCTGTGATGCTTCGCAGGGCGGCCAGACTGCCGTTCGCCTTTGCCACTGCTTTGGAGCGGTGAGTGGTAAAGGAAAGGGTCTTGTCTATCCAGATTCCTAGGTATTTGGCGTGCTCTGCTGGCTGAATAATGTGGCCAGTTGCGTGGTCCTTTATAAACAGCCTGTCGTGGCCAGGCAGTTCTGTTTGGATGTCCCAACTATCCGGATCCTCCTTTTCCTGCGGAGCTATATAGCCGTAGCGCTCACTCCTGTCGTTGTCTCGCTCCCGAGCAGTGTCGGGATGTGGGGAGTTCTTGAAGTGGATAAGCTCGAATTTGTCAGGTGCAAATATTGACGAGTGCTGTTTAGACTAAACTGCTGCTTTGTCCAGCGCCCTCTTGAGCAGATGCTGATTCTCTGTGTAGCTGCTTGAGATTACTAAGACGCAGGCATTGTTGATCCACCCGAATAGCACTGTCCTGCTGCCTCCGCTCAGCAGCGGCTGCATTCGCAGTGCCTCGATTCCTGACACGTCTAGTGCCTTGATCAGGGGGGTGTTGAAGATGAGAAAGAGAATAGGGGAGATAGGGGAGCCCTGTGGGATCCCTGTCAACGTAGGGATAAGATTGCTAATATATCCGGGCAACTAGATGCGCGTCTGCCGATTCGAGAGGAACGATTCGAGCCTTTATTATTATTATTATTATTATTCTTCCATATTATAGAGCATTTTTTAGTCAGAGACTATGCATGCTCTACCTACCACCCCTGGGTGGTAGGATTTGAACTAACAAACAGATACGTACATAGTGGGTAAAATCAAACATGAATAAGCAGTATGACATTCTAGGAGTGGGGAGGACCTTATAAAAGGGATTAACCATGTGAAATTCCAATTCTTTTTGCTGTTTTTACTGTTTTTCCTTTTTTTTTTTCTTTTGTTTTTGACTTTTTATTTTAGGGGCCCAAGAGCCACTTTCTAGTGGCGATTCCGGTTTCCTTTAGGAATTTGATCAGTTGTTCTTGCCCTGCTTTCTTCGTGAAAAGATAAGGCAGATTTCGGTCTTTTTTGTCTAGGGTCTCTATAGACCCTTTTCTGATGTCCCTGGTTGCCGGGCACTGGAGGAGTAGGTGGTATGGAGTTTGGGGCCTATTACTGCAGCACGATGTGCAGGTATCACTATTGTAGTTAGGTGTTTGAACTAGATAGGATCTAAAATAGCCATGCCCTAGCTTTAGTTGGATGATGGTTGACCAGGTCTGCTTGGGGAGCTTTAGAGGGCTTGGCTTCCATGAAGCTATGGAATTAAAGCCCTTGTATTGATCACTTTTCCTAGCATTTTCCCATGCTTTATCCCAATCCTCAAGGCACTTTGCTTTGAGCTCTCGTTTGAGATGGCTAATTGAAATAGGGCATTTATAGTATCTGCTTGTCTATTCTGCGCCATATTTCGCTGCTTCATCAGCTTTGGCGTTACCAAAAATTCCCTGATGGCCTGGAACCCAATGAATATGAATATAAATATTCTTATCCTTAATCCTAGTTGCCCATTTAAAGATTCTTTGGTGTGGCTCATAGCTGGTGTCTGCTGATTGAAGCCTTTTTAGGGCTGCTTGGCTATCTGAAAAGATGTAGATGTCTAAGGTTGGAATTTGAATAGTCTTAAATGCTTGTTTTAATGCTTTTTGAATAGTAAATAACTCTGCATTATAGACCTCGTATTCATGACCTAGATTCCATGCCCAAGCCTTTTGATTTTGAGGATTACTCTCTAGGAGGAAGATTCCTGCTCCGTTTTAACCACTCTGTAGCTGGGATCCATCTGGATAGAAGATAATTTTGTGGTTATCTTTATTAGCAAGCCATTGAGATATTAGCGTCTTGTGTTCCTGGGCTGCTTGCTCTTTCGGTTTACTAGATATAGATATATCTAATACTTGGTTTAATGGTTGGGACCAGGGCGGTAGGATTTGATCTAGCGTCTGAAAGGTGCCTTTCCACATTTTAAAGGAGAATAGTACTAGCAGTCGGATTAACTGGCTAGGGTATTTTCTCTTTCTCTCTCTAGGGTGGTATTCCGGGTCTTCTGCATCTAGTAATCTAGGTTTCTCGTTGCAATCCAAAACCTTGATTGGTTAATAAAGAATTCCCCCGGGTTTAGCATAAATATGGTTAGGAGTCTCGGCTTCTGCAGGAACAGGAGAAGCAGGAACGGGAGGAGCAGGAACGGGAGGAGCAGGAACGGGAGGAGTGCTCGGGTTCCTCGGGTGTAGTTAAGGTCCAGAAACAGCTTGACGATGCCTGCCTGTCTCTCTCTATCGCCCTTCTGGACCACCCCCTTAAGGGGGACCTCTTTGAAAGCACCGTGATCGGATTCCTCGCCGCCCTCGGGGTGGACCCCGCCAAGCAGATATTCCGCGAACCCTACGGATACACCGGCTATCTCTCCGGACTGGTCAAGATGGCACAGATGTTGGTGGTCGAGCGCGCCGTCCAGATGGCCGACGACGGTACGGTGGCGCACCCCGCAGACGCCCTGGATGCCATGCGCGAGCGATTCCTGCTCCACGGGGTGTGCGCCCCCTTCGCCTGGATCACCCGTCTGCGCACGTACGGCAAGAAGGTCCAGAACACCACCACCAGTCAGGGCTACATCTACTGGAGCGACGACGAGCAGACACTGAGCTACAAGGGGCTGCGCCTGACCATGGCCGGCTTCCGGCGCTTTGTGCGCGTGGAGGTCGAGCTGGCGCAGGCCGAGCTGGAGGAGCTGTTTCTCGTCCACGACGAGGAGGACCGGGGGGACGTGGTCCCGCACCTCCCCCTGGCAGAGCTGCAGGACGATCCCACGAACAACCAGCGGGGGTGGAACTTCCTCCAGTACCGGCCGAACCGCTCGGTCCTCCCCGTGGACAGGGAGCGCTGGTTGCTGAACCGCGTGCTAACCAGCAACTGGCTCCGGGAGGAGTTCCTGGACGTGGAGAAGACCGACGCCCAGGTGGTCTGGCGGATGGCCGCCGTGCATCGCTACCTTAAGCAGGTAGACCAGTTTCTGCAGCGCCTGCTGTTACTCGTCTATATTACCGCCGCCCAGCCGGCGCGCGCAACGGAGCTGCTGAGCCTGAGGCACGTCAACTCGGTCCACGGACGGCATCGGAATATCCTGATCGAGCACGGGCTGGTTAGCACGGTCACCGCGTACCACAAGGGGTACTCCGTGAGCAACTCCACCAAGATCATCCACCGCTATCTGCCCAAGGCGGTCAGCGAGCTGGTGGTGTACTACCTGTGGCTGGTCCTGCCCTTCGCCCAGTCCGTCGAGCGGCTGGTCTACGGGCGCAAGGGGAATAAATCGCCGTTCCTCTGGCCCCGCGGGGAGGGAAGCTGGGACCCGGACCGGCTGCGGACTGTTCTCCAGAGGGAGGCCCAGGAGCAGCTCCAGACCAAGATAAATATTCTCTCCTACCGGCACGCCGCTATCGCGATCTCGCGCGTCCACCTGAAATGTGGCGGGTTCAAGCGCGACTATGGGAGCAACGATGCAGTGTTCAACGAGCAGGCCTCCCACGGGTCGTGGATCGCGGGCACGGTGTACGCGCGCGGGCTGCAGGAGGCCCCCGGCCATGTGGAGGCGCGCCGGCGCCGGTACCGGGCGATCAGCCGGGAGTGGCATGGATTTCTGGGGTTCGAGGCCTACCTCGGCGCGCGCAAGCGCCCGCTGCGTGACACCGACGGGGCCGGGGAGGGTTCTGGTGGAGGGCGGAAGGGCGTGCGAGAGTATATTAGCGTGGAGATGGATTAGGGAGCCTTTTCTACCTGTATTATTATCTTAGTTGTATCTCCCGATGAGCTTCCAACCGCTTATTAAGCACTTCCAAAGTACTTGACCATTGGCTTTTTTGAAGGTAGAAGGTTTTGCCACTGATTACCTATATATTACTGGGCTTGCGGTTATATACCGATGGTCTGCTATACTGCGGTAATTTGTAACTATCCTCGAAGCTAGTATATTATATAAGGTTTTTATTATATTTATATCCGCAATCTAAATGAGAGCAACGAACCAGCGATCCCAACAGATAATATTTAGGTTGCTGTCCAGGAGCTAGAGAATGCGTGGAAGGAGGCGCAGTCCACGCCGAGTGTAATTTAGGCATCTAATATTACTAACGCCAACCCATAGCTGCGCATGACCCGGTGCCAAGGAAGAGCCCATGGATCCCGTGGAGCAGGGCGTGCGCCATATTTGGGCCGCTATGGAGCAGGTCGTGCGCAAGAGCCAGCGCGTGGTCCAGCACAGCGGCCAGGTAATCTGCGTTGAAGCAATCCGATCCGAAAAGGGTCAAACACCATATCGACCGTTGCAGGCGTATATGGATACCGAGAGCGTGGTTAAGCATATGCAGCCATGGCAGCAAATCCTAGTGTTTATCGCGCGCACCCAGGCGCCACACGAATGGACGAGTCCCCCGTACGGCATGACAGCACGGCAGTGCAAGAAATGGCGGCAGTTATAACACCTCGCCACTACCCACCGGGATATTCCGGGGAGCCGCAGGACGACGACGCAGCGTGGCGCATGACCCCGATCGAAGGCGCGTGTTTGGAGTTCTGCATCGAGTTGCTAAACCAAAAGCAGCGTAGCTATGAGTACGAGAGCGTGCTTGTATATACCATGGCCGTGTTGGGATGGGGCCGGGACTGATGGCAGGGCCCGGAGAGTTATCCTCCGATCTTATCGCGCGTGATCAAGGTGGCGCGCTTTATGATTGTGCAGAAAGCGCTTTGGTTGGATCCGAATCCGGAGGAGATTATCGCGGTGTGGCAGAAGAAGAGTAACTGCGCGCAGTGGGTGCTCGCCAGCGCCGACGACGAGCTGGAGGATATTTATTTGGACGAGGGATATTACAGTTAACTAGAGCAAGGCATCCCATCGTCGCCCCCACGTCGCCCATCACTAGCAGTACTCCCCAGCCGATGGTGAATATCCGCCGGCAGAATCGCAGGAAAACATTCCAGGAGCACGTGGAGTGGATGGTGCAGCGGTTTATGGTGCGTGGCACCCATAGCCTGATACAGATATTGCAGGACTGGCGCACGTACGGGTTAAAGATCCATTATAATACCACGGCGCCCGGGCACATTACATGGAACCATGGCAACGAGCTTGGATACAAGCATATCACATTTACCATGGGCGATTTCCGCGGATTTGTCCATGGATTGGTCGGGGCCACGCGCCAGATATTATGCGACATACTGTGCGTCACAGCGCGAGAAAACATTCCCAGTATTCCATGGCATGCGATCTACAACGACCCCACGCAGGCCATGGTAGGATGGAATTTTTGCGGGATCAGCGCACGCAATGGCCGGTGGGGCCCATGTGGATAATCGGCCGGTTGCGGGCCGAGCCGGCCGTGCAGAAGGAGTTTACTATCCAGCGCCAAGCCCGACGGCTGCACATGCCGAAGGTGGCGCAGTATCTGGAGCGCGTGGCGCGATTTAAGGAGAAATTAGCAGTGATTGTTTATATAGTATCCGGCCAGCCGGCTCGCGCACCCGAGTTATTAAGTATCCAACATGTGAACGCCGTGGCGAATCGACAGCGCAATATCTATATCGAGGACGGGATGGTGGCGTTGGTGACGGCGTACCACAAGGGGTTTACGCAAGTAACGACATAAAGATCATTTATCGATTTGTGCCACGGGAGGTAGGTGAATTAATTGTGTGGTATTTATGGTTAGTATTGCCATTTGTGCAGCAACTAAGCGCATGGCATGCGAAGGAGACGCAGGGCACCACGGCGCAGGGCATGCACGCAACGCAGGGAACGCACGCAGTGCAGGACACCACCACAGCGCAGGGCACCACCACAGCGCAGGGCACCACGGCGCAGGGCATGCACGCAACGCAGGGAACGCACGCAGTGCAGGGCACCACCACAGCGCAGGGCACGAACGCAACGCAGGGCACGCAGGGAATACGCGGAGTACAGGGCACCACCACAGCGCAAAGCACCACCACAGCGCAAAGCACCACCACAGCGCAAAGCACCACCACAGCGCAAAGCACCACCACAGCGCAGGGCACCACAGCGCAGGGCACCACGGCGCAGGGCATGCACGCAACGCAGGGAATGCACGCAGTGCAGGGCACCACCACAGCGCATGGCACGCACGCAACACAGGGCACGCACGCAACGCAGGGCACGCACGCAGCGCAGATCTCCGAGGATGCGTTTTTATGGGGCCCCGACCCCGGTACCCGGCGCAAATGGACCTCCGAGCGGTTCCGGGAGGTGTTAAAGCGCGAAACCAAGACCCGCTTAAAGCAGGCTATTAATATCCAGTGGTATCGGGATATCGCCATTGGGATTAGCCGATGATTTTTGCGACCCACTGCCGCGTTTGCCAGCAATATGCAGGAGGAGAGAGACTTGGCGCAGGCTGTGTTAAACGCCGACACCGAGGAGGGTATAGACGAGGAGCAGTGGTTAAGCTATATTACGGATTTGCAGGCGGCGCATTCATCCCAATTGGCGGGTGGAGTGTACGGCTGTGGTATTATAGAGCAGCCCGGGACCACGGCGCATCGCTGTGCAATGTTTCGGCTCTCCAGCACCGATTGGCACCGGTTTTGGGGTTTGCATCCGCCGCGGAGCCCAGCCCGTTGGGGAAGCGCAAGAGATCACCATGGGAGGACGAAGCCGAGGAGGGCCGAGTTGTTCGACGTCACCAGTTAAATATCGCAGATATGCGCACCACATTGCAGCACATAACTGGGCAGGAGGATATCCAGTTCCGGGGCGTCCAAGCACCGGCGTTACGCGCCATTCAAGATAGTAAAAGCCCGGTTGTCGCTATTATGCGCACCGGAGGGGAAAAAGCATGTTGTTTATATTACCTGCATTTACCGAGCCCAGTGGTACTACCATTGTGGTCGTGCCGTTAATATCATTGCGGAACAATATAGTGCGGCGCTGTCGCGAGTTAGGTATATCCTGCATTAAATGGGATAGTCGAAGGCCACCGGACAAAGCGACAATTGTACTGGTCACACCGGAATCCGCGGTGCAGGAGGATTTTTAAATATTTATTAACCAGTTGCAGCAAACACGCCGGTTAGACCGGATCGTGATCGACGAATGCCATGTGATATTAAACAACCAAACAGATTTCCGACCCGAGTTGCGACAGCTGGGGCGGTTAAACCACGCGCGAACCTAGATAGTGTTATTAACTGCCACGTTGCCGCCCCGGTTAGAGGCGAAGTTATTCCGGCGCATGGAGTATTCCCGCGAGCAAGTCTATATATTTCGGGACCGGACAAGCCGTCCCAACGTGGTGTATCGCGTGTGGCGGCCCGAGCTGGGTCGGCGTTCCATGCAGTGGTTTACCAGCGAGCCGGTGCTCGTGTTTATCCGCGAGCGAATCCAGCGCGCCAAGGATGGCAAGGTGGTGGTATACGGCCATGTGGTCTGTTAGGTAGTGGAGATTGCACGCGAGTTAGCGTGCAAGGCGTACTACAGCAAGCAGGTCGACAAGCCATCTATATTACAGCGATTTACCCGGGGCGAGGCGCGAGTAATTACCGCCACCAGTACATTGGGCATGGGTGTGGATATCCCCAACATTCGCAGTATTATCCACATTGGAACACCGCGGTCGTTGTTGGAGTACGGGCAGGAAAGTGGGCGAGCCGGACGGGATGGCCAGCGCAGCGAGGCGATTATTATCCAGCCCAAGGGCTGGGACGAGCCCATGCCGGAGACGCCAGAGGCCGTGGCGGATCGCGAGTTAGTGGACGAGTATCTCGGGGTGGCGCCTGGGGTGGGATATCGACGGTTTGTATTAGACGTGTACATGGACAAAACAGTAAATAGCTATACGCGCCGATACTGTCAGGATATTGATTCCACGGAGGCACTATGTGATGGCTGTGACGCTGATTGGCTCGCGCAGGAGTCGGTTTGCATGTCCCCAGACAGATATTCCCCGGACACCCGCATGGACGATCTCGCCAGCACGACAAGCCCACCACGCGAGATAAGCGCTACGGGCAGTCCCTATTCCCATAGTAGTGGCGAATTATTTCCATTATCGTATATTATACCGCAGAGCATGCAAAATATCGCACCAAATCCCACGCGCCGGTCCCAATCCCATGACAGTACTGAATCGTTTAAAACACAGGTAATATCGCATGTTATACCGCAGAGCACGCAAAATATCGCCCCCAATCCCACGCCCAATCCCACGCCCAATCCCACGCCCACTGTTAGTATCGCCGAACGCCAGCGCCAACGGGTGCAAGACCAGCGCCATGCAGCGCCCGTATTCAACGCCAGGTGCAAGATGCACGGCAGTGGTTAGACGAGGAAACTATTAAACACGAGATAGCACCGTGGCAGAAAAAGTGCTATATTTGCACCATTGCAGGACGGGAACAGAACGAACACGAGTTATACTTTTTGCCGTGGGCCCAAAAGCGATAAAGCCAAGGCATGGGTTAATCTAGTTGCCAGCACAAGATTCATTCGCCAGATATACCGCTTGTTACCGCTGTTATCTGCCACAGACAATCTGTCGACGATGGGAGTTATTAGATGGCCATCCAACACAAACTGACTGTGTATATAAGGATATATTGGTCCCCATGATGGCTGTAATACTGTACAGCCCGTGGGAGGAGCAGATCCAGCCACTATGGCAGCGCCGGTTGCAGCAGCACGGGGTGGACGCAAACAACACCACGCAAGTGTTGCAGTTTTGGGGCAGGCCGCGGAGGGAGCTAAAGGCCAGCACAGCCAGTTATTCGCATTATTTTGCTGGCTATGGCAGATGTGCAAAGAATTGAGGGATCCACAAGGTTTGTGGTATAACTAGTTAGTATACAGTAGGCTGACCGTTGGGAAGGGAAATTCCCATGGGAAATCGGGATGGGATTCCCTTCCCAAAAAATCGGGACGATTTTTTTGAAATTTTTGGGAAAGGGAATATCCCGTCCCGTGCCAAGATCGGGAAGGGATTATTTCGGGACATTAAAAATTTAGGAGGGAAATTCCCATACTCTTATTTTCTAAAGGGATTCCCATCCCATGGGACTCCCTGATACAAACAGGACCAGAATTTTTAAGTATATGGGAATGGGAATATCCCATCCCGAATCCCATATAATGGGAATCCCTTCCCGAAAGTCTTGGCAAGGGAAGGGAAACTTCTGGGATTCTACCTTTACTGTTACTAAAGTCTGTTACCTTGTTTCTAATGTACATAATACCCATTTATTAATCCTTCATATATTCAGTGAGTAGTGAGGCATGAAACATAAACTAAAGTAACAGAATTTTGTAACAGTATTTATATAAAATATAAACACCATAGAACAGTCCTACCAATCTGTTACCTACTAGCCTTGTCCCTATGCACCGTCGCTTTACTCACTCTCGCCCTGCTTACTGTTGCTTTGCTCACTTTTACCCTGCTTACTGTCGCCTTGCCCACCTTTGCTCTGCTTACCGTCGCCCTGCTCTCCAAATTCCGTTGATAAATTAGAGCTTGACTCTAAGTCTGATTCTGATTTATCAAGGTCTATTTCACCCTCGAATTCGGGATCCTTATCTAAATTAATATCAGAATCATGCACCATAATATAACTGGGTTTATAACAAAATTAAGTAACAGTATTATCCTGATAAAAGCTAATTATGTCTCGTATTCTGTTTGGTAGTATTCTGGTAAGCAAAGAGCACGGCGACGACTGTCCTCCTTAAGTTGCAAAATCTAAGATGTAGTTAATGGTTGTGGGGGCATACGACCTTTATAACCACTAGTAGCAGCATCTTGAAGGAAAAGCGCAGTGTCATGTAATCTGTTATTAATATGTTTGATTGCTTCCCTTTTCTTTGTAGTAAGTTTTTGGGGGTATTAGAAGGGCCCTGAGGTTGCAAGCCAACCATCTGTAAAAATTCCTGGATAATCTGAGAACAAGACGCATGTCTTAACCATAAGATTGCAGTTTTATACTGTAAGTTTATTTAACCTATTAAAATTAGTAGTTATACTGTTACTAGAAACTGTTACTTACAGGCAAACAAATAGTTATGCTTATTTTAGTAACTTCCTGCAGAGCATCAATTACCTGGGGTATCACACGAAACTCGGGGTTGATTTTTTTCACGGCTTCACGGACAAGGCGTCCAAATATAGATTTGGGAATAAAAAGCCAGTTTAGTCTGCATAGTGACGAATTTCCCGCTCAGACTCTAAAGCGATTATTAGTAAAATATAATACTAAATAGATTAGTTAATACTTACTGGGAAGGATCTGTTGGAAAGGTCTGGGACAGGCGCTGGTTAATAAGGTATAATATCCACAGTACACATTCTCCTAAAACCATTCAGCGCGCGAACATGCCATGCTTTGTACTGTTAATAAAAGCCTCGTTTAAATCATCGTTATCCTTTTAAAGGCTAAAAACTGTTACTATATTTCGTTACTAAAGAAAGTCAAGCTTCCCTTACCTTAAACACATAAAAGTACACTTGGGCTTTTTTAAAGCAGTCTTTCCAGCAATCTGACCTGGTAATCTCTTCCCACCAGTATTCCTTCTACCTTTTGGTGGCATTTTGTCAAGAAAATCACTGGTAACAGACCAATGTAACAAGAAAATGCAGAAAAGGTAAAAGATATAAGAAAGGAGAAACAAAGGCAAGAAGAGTAAATAAAAAATGTATAGTAGTAAAAGGAGGTAAGAAAGTTAAATAATAAACAAAACCTATTTATTACTAAGTCCTAGGCAACCAATTGTTTTTTCTCTTTGTCTCCTTTGTTTCTTTACTTACCTTATATTCTTTCCTAGCCTGTCCTCTATTACTCTTAGCATCTAATTTCTTTATTTTCCAGCTTGCAGTTTAATCACCCTTTTTTATATTTGTTACCAAGCGCTGTTACCACCAGTTCTAATGCCTCGCAAAATATCTACTGTTAACGAGTGGTGAAGGCAAGGAACCGTCGTCAAGCAAAACTGCCTAGAAGGAGTTGCAGAAAAACATGATCTACGCAAAGCGAAATTCGACTGTCTTAAAAAGCTAAGGAAACTGGAATCTGGTATGTAGTAACGGCTTTTAGTAACAACCATGGAGCCTAAGAAATATATAGGAAATCAGCACCTGAGTACTGAAACAACAGCTTGAGGATAATCCCTTGCGCAGTTATAGCAAGAGAGGTTTAATGCTAAGAGGTCCAAAGAGTGGTATGAAAAGCAGCTTTAGCTTTAAGAGGCTTAGAAAGAAGTAGTAATAGCTACAAAAAGAACATAAAGCAGCTCGCAAGATTTTGGCTAAGATCTCCTCTAAGCCAGCTACTGTAACCACCCCAAAGGTAATAATCTTTGGTAACAGATTAAGAAAAGACACTTACATTAATTAGGATTCTATTCTTTTATTCTGGAAGCATCGCCAGTCCTGCCTGGTTAATTCTCTTAAAGAACAAGTTTTAAAACACGGTCGCGATAAACTAAAATTAATTAGCGCTTCTAGTAAGGCCTTGGATCAAGAACTTTATAATTTCTATAACCAGAAATCCCCAATTGAACCAATTTGGGCGGGTGATGATAAAGAATTTTCTGGTAGTAAAGTTAAGGTATCTGGGGGAAGAAAGTAAGGACTCGGAAGAATTTAAGGACAAGTAGTAGGTTATTAGGAAAGTCTAATTATTATTAATTAGTTACTCGAGGCAAGTTTTTTTTAATAGTCTAGTTTAGTATAAAATTAACAATTTTTTAATTTTTTATTAGGCTGTTACTGCAAAGTATTACGTACCTAAGCTTAGAAAAATAATATAAGTTTAAATTCCTATTAAAAGAGAATAATTAAAAATAAAACAAAAATAAAATAAAAATAACATAAAAAGCACTAGGTTTATATAATATTAAATGCAATACTATATATAATATATATATATATCTCTCTTTAAAACAACTGACTAAAATATACTTTATAAATATACCACTAAATATATAATATTCTCGCGTTTTCTGAATACACCATAGCTAATTTCCCTAAATATCTTAGTTTTAACCTTAAATACTTATTTCTGTACCTTCTAATTACGCGACTATTTAATAAAAATTGTGTTTATTAAAACACGTTGGCTATATAAGGTTTAATACTATTTGTAATAGATTATAAATATATCCCGGCCTAATAATAGACAGGCTTCCTACTAAGATTTTACGACCATAGAACTTTTTATCCTATTTATTATTCTTTGCTGCTTAAATTTTTTTTATTAGGTTTTATTTTATTTATTTATATACTTACTGTTACTTTCTACTGTTACAAAATATTATTATCAAGAAGCCAATCTCTAAGCTTTTACTTAGAAAATTTTTTATTAACTCCTTTTTCAAGCATATCTTCTAAGCCTCTGCGTTCTGCTTTATCCTTAAAAGGGATATTTTTAAACCTATAGTATCTAAGTTCTTCCCCACACCTTTATCCTATATTAAACCCTCTGAAAATATTAAAACTGTATTAATTAACAGTGTTAAATATATAAAGTGGGAGAAGTCCTCCTATTCTAATTTTATAAAGTGGTGGAAGAAAACACCTACTGGTATAGGAATTTTTAATAGCAAGGTAAATAAGAAATTCTTTTACCCGAACTGGAATAAAAGCAGAAGTTAAAATAATTTATAGGATTAGTTTAATTAACTTGCCAAGCTTTATACTAAAAAGCCTGTTTTTAATACTATACATATTAGAGTATTATTCAGCATGGGATCTACTATAATAATAGGACGTCTGGAATAAATAAGCATTTTAAAAGCAGGGAGTGTAAAAAAAAAAGAGTCCTAATTTACAGTAATTAATAATTACAGTAAGTACAGCCCATTATTTGGTAATAGTATTTAGTAACAGTTTTAGTAGGAAATATACAAGTAAAAAAAAACAACCTTACTTTTAGTTATTATACAGTACTTTCATAATCCCTCCAAAGACTAATAATAATATTACTAAATAAATTTTTAAAACATTTTTTGCACTGAATCTATCCTTCCAAGCTATTAAATATCCTTAATTTATCAGTCTTCTTTCTCTCCTTAATCTAATTATTAATATTCCTCGCCGAACAAAGCTCCGAAAACTGTTAGACAGCAAATTTAAGGCAGTCTAGGATAAGATCTTGTTAGGATATTTATCTCGAGGGAAAATATCCTTAATATTAGATGCATGGACAAGTCCAAATTATTTTTTATTTCTAGGAGTTATTAGTTCTTATATAACATCTCGGTGGGAGCGGAAGGAGGTTTTTCTTGGGTTTAAGCCTCTAGCAGGAGTTTATAGTGGCTCTTTTTTTTACTAAGACTATTTTCCAACTTTTTAAGACACACATGGTATTAAGGATTAATTATTAGTTATTACTACAAACAATGCTAGTAATAATAAAACTCTATGTAAATTATTATTAAAGTCTTTAAGTTTAAAGAATATATCTTGGTTAGCAGAGTAAAACTATCTACCCTGCCTTGCTTATATTATCCAGCTTGTCGCGAAGAGAGTTATTCAAGCACTTAATATTAAATTATTAAATAAGACCCTTCCTTTTTTTAATAATAAAGGAATTAAATTAACACTTTTAAAACACAAAGATATTTTTGGAAAGATATTACACAAGGTAAGTGCTATAGTGATGTAGTAGTAGTATTTAGTTGTCATCCCGGATGACTAAGATGTATAGTGCCTGACGAATATGGCTCCAACACGTAGGCACTCCGAAGACACGATCCCACATCATCCCACGGCAGTGCACTGGAAGACCTCGGTAGACATTAGGTTAAATAGCGGTCTGCTACCGTAAGTAGCAGACCGGAGACGAGAGAGACAGAGGACTCATCAAGGATAGCTTAGGCAATACATTCCTTCAGAAGACTCAATAGAATTCCCTCAGTCCTCCCCAGGGCCCCCGTCCCCTATTCGACTGTCCCTACAGCTCATAGTGTTCTACTACCTCGTCCAGTCCCTTACCTAACCGGCCGTGTGATGAGCGATATTGCATAGTAATAGTATACTAACTATCTTAACTACTTAGATTTAACTACTTATAAATGCAATTAATGCCTCTTTTTAATATTGTGAACTCTTTTAAAAGGTCTAATCTCGGAATCCACCACTCCACATGGTCCAGGATGTTGCTTCTCGCTGAAATTTAATATATAATATGGTAATCCGAGTATTACTATTACAAGGTCCTCTTACTAAGTTTTTTAATAAATGCAATAATCCTACACTTCAGGCATTTAAGCTTACTAATAATAAATAGAAACTGACGGAGGAAAGTGGACCACTAGACTAACCAGAATGGGAATAACCATGGGCTATACCTATTTAGATTTAGCCTAGGGGAAAAAGGTTGAAAATACTATTCTATAATAGTATTATATAATATTGATAGTGTGGAGGGATGAGTTATATTTAAACAAGTATAAAATATAATTAATACATAATATAATAGGGAACAATTTTCTTTCCTATTTAGGAAGATTTCCTATTTAGGAAGGTAGATATTGAAAGATTATTTAAGAATGATTGTCCATTTTTTGTTGAAGGGGGGTTTTGGTTGCTTTTATATTAGACCTCGGATATTTCTTGGTAAAAACTTGGAGATATTTCGTTGAAGTATCGGCTAAAATTCGGCTCAAGTTCGGTTTTAATTCGGTGCTTGATTTTTAATTTAAGTTGCTTGCATTTTTTGAATATTTTGTTTGCTTAATTAATGCATGGATTAGTAGCCTCGTTTATTAAGGAGTTTCCTAATTAGGTAATTAGAATATTAAGTAATATCTTAATATTCTGACAATTACCTTTTCTTTGTTCTTGATTATACATCCTTTTAATAATAATTTATCTCCCGTGTTTAAACTAGTCAAGTATTGTTACCTGAATCTGTTACAAGATATATTTAAGAAAATCCTATAGGGAAATTCCCATTTCTATCGGGAATATCCCACTTCCCATATTCCTAATGGGAATTTCCTTTCCTCTAACTAAGCGGGAGGGGAATTTCCTTTTCTAATCCTAATTCCCAAGGGAAATTCCCATATGGGAAATGGGACGGGAAACAGGACGTGATTTTTAAGATAAGAGGGAATGGGAATATCCCTTCCCGAATAGCTTGGCATGGGAAGGGAATTAAAATTTAATTCCCATTGGGAATATGGGACGGGACTTGAACCCTTTCGGGATCCCGATTCCCTCCCAACGGTCAGCCTATGCCAGGCTAAGAAACAACTAGGGGCAAAAGCTCGAGGAAGCCGGAAACGAAGAAGACTTCGGAGCAGGAGCCAGGAAAAAAAAGGGTTACTAGACAAGGAAGTACTAGTTAACCAAATAGTAAAGGCTTCTAATAGCAGAGAACTATCGCTGGTTAATACCCTTGATCCGAACGAGGCTAATAAAAAAAGGTAGAAAGGCAATGCCCACTAGGAAAACTAGCAGTGATAGAAGAACCTGCGCATCTCTTTATAGGTTTGCTAGGGATTTCCAGAACTGTGCCGACATAAATACTAGTTAATTCGGGCGCTAGTCACATATTTATTACTTGACAGATATACAAATAATTATCTTACAGAGTAATAATTAGACAAACCAAGTATCCTCTACATAAGCTATATCTACCTAAGGGTAGTATATACGTGTCATCCCGGATGACTAAGATGTATAGTGCCTGACGAATATGGCTCCAACACGTAGGCACTCCGAAGACACGATCCCACATCATACGATCCCAGATCGTATGATATGGGATCCCACGGCAGTGCACTGGAAGACCTTGGCAGACACTAGGTTAAATAGCGGTCTGCTACCTTAAGTAGCAGACCAGAGAGAGGAGACAGAGGACTTCAAGGATAGCTTAGGCAATACATTCATTCAGAAGACTCAATAGACTTCCCTCAGCTCTCCCCAGGGCCGCCATCACGGCGGCCCCTGGGGCCCCGTCCCTATTCGACTGTCCTTACAGCTCATAGTGTTCTACTACCTCGTCCAGTCTCCTACATAACCGGCCGTGTGATGAGCGATATTGCATCTGGTAGCATGTCAAGCTGGAAGCTGCAAACACAGCTTGTAATGCGGTCAATCGACCAAGTACTGGCTTGGAAGATGACTGCTCACACGATCCGACTTCCCTTGCCGGAGTAGGGGACGGATAAGGTGTATACGGACACGGAGTGAGCGAGCCGACCGACTGCTAAGGCATTTATGGCAGAAGCGCAGGCCACGCTCAAAGCATCGTACGATATGGAATCGTACGATACTGGGGGTAGGATGGAGGAAGCAAGCATAAATAGGCCCTTCTCCCCTCCTCGACGCTTCCTTACTCAACCAGCTCAACTCTTCAAAGGAAACACAAGAAGCTTGATCGAAACAACGACGAAGTGCGCCCACTTAACAGAATAGCTAACAACTCCTTTACTCCGAACCTTTCTTCCCCAAGTAACGCATCCATGGACGACGCACAGGAAGAAATCGAATTTAACACTGCAGACTTTCGTGCCTTGCTGGAAGAAGTCCGGAACTCTCGAGAGCAGATAAGAAGGCTCGAGCAGATGACAATGGGCCATGGTCAACGGATGGATGGTTATTCGGATCCAGTGGGAGGCATATCGCGGGAAACAAAGGAAGCTAGTCGGAAAATGTCAGACCTGAGCGTTATCCCAATGTACGGTGGGAAGTATGCTAAGGATGCTGCTTGTAAGTGGTTAATAGTCCTTGAAGACTATTTCGAAAACAAACAGCAGATCACGAAGAAAGAAGCAACCGATCTCGACAAAATCACAATTGCTTCACAACGTCTGACGGGTTTAGCACGGGATCGATGGTATTCCGCGCGAGAACAAGCACGAAGCGACCCTACATGCCGAATCACCTCTTTCGAACAGTTCAAGGAATGGATTGAGCTGAACTTTGGCGAGATTCTGAGCGACACACGAAGGTGGGAAGAATACGAGGCGTGTACGCAAGGAACCCGTTTAGTGCAAAGCTATGGCACAGCGCTGCGTACTGCGGCCGACAGAGTTAAGGAGGACATTCCCGAGCCTATGTTAATCCGGAAGTTCGTCACGGGAGCAAAACCGGCTCTGCAAGCTATGTGGGCTAGAGATATAAATCAACCTTTAAGGTATAATAAGGTGGTACAACGGTTCGCAATATATAAGCAAGGCGTAGCCTTGGCCGGACACTACTTAACAATAGCTGGAGATAATCAAGTCACAGAACTAATGGACCTAAGCGCAGTTATAGCTGCCCCAAACCCTCCAAAAAGATCGTCACCCGCTTGGAAGAAATAGTGTAAAAAAGCACCGAGCATGTTTTAGTTGTGGAAGCACGAAGCATAAGAACTCCGACTGCCCGGCTAAGAAATAACAAGGAGGCAAAAGCTCGAAGAAGCCGGAAACGAAGAAGACTTCGGAGCAGGAGCCGGGAAAAAAGAGGGTTACTAAACAAGGAAGCACTAGTTAACCGAATGGCAAAGGCTTCCAATAGCAGAGAACTATCGCTAGTCGATACCCTTGATCCTGACGAGGCCGACGAAGAAGTTAAAAGGCAATGGCCACCAGGAGAACTAGCAGCGATAGAAGAACCTGCGCATCTCTTTGTAGGTTTGCTAGGGATTACCAGAACTGTGTTAACACGAATACTAGTTAATTTGGGTGCAAGTTATATATTTGTTGCTCGACAGATATGCGAACAATTATCTTATAGTGCAATAATTAGACAAACTAAACACCCTCCACTTAAGCTACGTCTACCTAAGGGTAGTATATATGCAATATACAAGGTCCACGTGCCCATTTGCATCGGGGAATGGTGCGGTATAATCTCTGCTTGGGAGGTAGACACGGATATACACAATCTAATCCTAGGACAAGACTGGTTAAGGTCGATAAATCCAACGATAGATTGGCGGACAGGATATATAACCATACAATAAAAAAAAGCACTCCTAGTAAAGCTTGTACCAGAACATGTCCATGCGAGGACCATCGCGGGATCCGAGCTGAATATAATATCAGGGAAGCAAGTGCAACACGAGATACACAAGAAAAGTGCAGAAGCATGGTTATATATAATCTGGCCGATAAAAAAACCAAGGAACCTGTGTGTAGGTCGGAAAGGATTCGAGATATTCTAAAGCAATATTAATTAGTATTCCGGGAGGAGTTAGCACCTGGACTACCACCAGAAAGACAAGTAACTCACGAGATTAATACAGAAAACATGTTACCAGTCAGCACCAACGCTTACCCCCCCAATCCCCGGAGAAGTTCAAGGAGATAAAGCGGCAGGTAGAAGAACTACTTTTAAGGGAGTTATTCGACCTTTATCGAGTCCATGGGGATTACTAGTTGTGTTAGTTACAAAGCCGGACGGATTATAGCGAATATATGTAGATTACCGCGCAGTAAATAAACTCACGGTAAAGAACACCTATCCTCTGCCAAGGATCCTAGAGCTTATTGATAGAGTTGGGAACGCTAAGTATCTCTTAAAGCTTAATCTTCTATCAGGATACTGGCAGCTACGCGTCGGAGAAGTATCAATACCAAAGACCATGTTTAATATATTATTCGGAAAGTTCGAATTTCTAGCGATGCCGTTTGGGCTATGTAATGCTCCAGCTAGCTTTTAAATATTAATAAACGACATCCTGAGAAATTTCGAATTTGTTGTGGTGTATCTCGACAATATCTTAATCTTCTTAGATACAGAAGAAGAGCATGCAGAACATGTACGACAAGTTTTTAAAAGGTTAGCAGAACATAAACTCTATGCAAAGGGTTCGAAATGTCAGTTTAGACAACAGTAGTTAGAATTCTGCGGCCACATAATTGGTAACGGTGAAATTCGACCGGTACTTGCAAAAATAGATGCTATTAGGGACTGGCCTATTCCGACAAATGTTCATAAGGTACGACAGTTCCTAGGTCTAGCTACCTATTATTACCAGTTTATTAAGGGATTCGCACGGATATGCGTACCCCTTCACGAGCTACTTAAGGAATTAGATAAAACCTTAAGAAAGAAGAAGTTTCGACCTATTTAATAAATAGTGCTTTGTTAACTTGCATTTAATAACTTAAAGAAGAAGATGACAGAGGCACTAGTATTAATTATTGCAAATCTAACACGGCTATATAAAATTAAAACTGATGCATTAAATAGAGCGATTGGTATAGTACTACTCTAGTAAAACAAGAATGGAGTATTTCGGGTTGTTGTGTATAACAGCCAAAAACTACTTGGTGCAGAACAGAACTATCCGACACAAGAAAAGGAATTGCTCGCAATTAAGGAAGCGCTTCGTCGATGGGATTATTATATTAATAATAGACAACCGATAACTGTGGTTACGGACCACGAAAGCTTGCAGTACCTTACAGACACGAAGAAATATTCTAAACGTCTTGCGTGATAGGTAAAAGAGTTCTAGATGTATAATATTTAAATTCGATATTAAAAAGGCTCCAAAGCAGTTGTACCAGATGCTATTAGCCGCCGGCCTGACCTGGTTAAGGACGTACCGGCAAAAATAGCTAAGTAACCTAAGCTTTTTCTTAACGCACTAGATGCGTGGGAGAAGCAGAGTCAGACAAGGATTTGTAGTATTGGGAATGTCTTGGAAAGAGAATAGTACCTAGCAATAATTATATACTTGCGAGACAAGCAAATTCCACTTAAATCATGATTGCGGAAGGCAGTTGAAACCACGGCAGAGGATTTTAAACTGCGGGAGGAGAGACTATATCTTGCTCCATATCCGCGGGGTAAGCAAAACGCGTCGACCGCTCCTAAATTATGTCACGAACAATTATATTGTAAAACAGACAACGGTAACGCGCCATACTTAGAAGTTCCTTTTAAAAGGACTTCACGAATAGAATGCACCGTGATTACGGACATCTTGGATATCCAGCCTTACTAGGAGCCATAGGCAATCGTGCCTGGTGGCCAACAATGCGGAAAAATATTAAAGAAGCTCTGAAGCATTGCCCGAACTGTCAGACTTTAAATAGTCTTTGTAAAGGCTTGGAGAGAGAACGCCCGCAGCATCTTGTGCGGGAAGGAATGCAACCGTTCAAGTAATAGGGTGTAGACCTTATCAGACGGCTTCCAACAACTCTAAATAGGAATCAATGGATTATAACAGCAGTCGATTATGCAACAGGATAGGTAGTTGCGAAGGCTCTGCCGGATATAAAAGATAAGATATTAGCAAGGTTTTTACACGAGGAGATCTTTACTAACTATAAAGTATTTAAAAAGCTCCTATTAGACAACAGACCAAACTTCCTTTCGAAGATTGTTAAGGTGTATATTACAATCTTAAAAGCAAAGCACTAAACAACAACACCTTATTATCCACGAACGAATGGAAAGAACGAGAATATAAACAGTCTGTTAGGCCGGATGTTAACAAAGTACTTAATAGGCAAGCCAACACGCTTGTGGGATAAGTACTTAGCCCTTGCAGTGTTCGCAGCACGCATACACATGCAGAAGCAAACAAAGAGGAGTCCTTTCTACCTCCTTTATGGGCTAGAGCCGCGTCTTCCAGAAGACGGCGACTCAACGAAGACATCAAGCAGCAAGGATTGTATACAGCGCGTTATGCATGCACGTGCGCAAGCAAACAAAAACTCTTGGCACACGCGATCTGTTAGAACCTGATCCGGGACACGCTAGTCACGAAGGACCGTCTAGACAAAGGAGAATGGGTGTTAGTACGGAACGAAACACCGCAGAAGTTTTAGAGTAAATGGTTCGGACTATACAAGATTGTTAAAAGACATCCTTTGGGGACGTACGTGTTAGAGGAACCCGGTGGAACACCGAGTCCACACATTAATAAATAGTCAACGTTTGGTCAAAGCAGGGATTGATAAGGACCCCACGAAGCTTTGGATGTCAGCAGCTTTAAATCAAAAGCTAAAAAAAAAGGACTTACACTTCAACAGCCGGTTAAAGTTCGACAGGTCCTTGAACAGGATAAACCATCCCCGCCGTTATATAACGAGTTGTCGGAAAGAACTTAGAAGAAATAGGACGGTTGTAAGCGTTCAGGAGTATGCTTTGTTTAAGGAGGGGAAGGAGGTTTACCAACCCAACGCGAGGAAGCCTTACCTTGAGCAGAAGAAAAAGGGCGCGTTGGTAAACAAACACCGGTGGGAGTTAGCTGCTCCACGCGACGTAGAACAAAGCCTGCCACGGAAGCCGTTGAAAGTGCAGACTTGACTGATTTAGATAATAAGACTTGGGAAGGTATACCAGGTAAAGGAACGGAGAAGTTAAGCAGTCGAAGGGACGCCAGAGACATTGACTTTAAAGGACTATTCGCAGTGGTGATACCGTCTTACCAGGAGAAATCGGATTAGTATAATTGCGATAGCAATAGTCTAATCTCACAACTAATTACTGTCCACGAAGAAGCTACGCAAATCCCGAACAAAGAGGTATTTATCTGCTAGGATACAAAGCAAAATTCTATTACCAGCTGAATATAATAAAACTACAAACCTTTTAACTTATCCAGTTCCAACCCAACCTCAATATCCTTATAGGACTCTGCTACGGTGTCCCAAAACGTATTAGGAGAAGGCTCTCTAGGATTTAGAGCTTCGATGCGGTTGTTAACAATGTAAAGGTAGCGACGAAGCTCCATGCGAATAATCTCCAGAGTTTTAATATTATCCCAAGCATTCTTAGGGACCGACCAGGGCACGAAATCGCCATCAAGAGAACTCTTCTTTGAGCGAAAAGGCGTCGACGACTGACCAGTATTACTTGGATCGAAGAGACGACCCTTCCTAGAACCAAACAAAATATAGGAAGGACCGGTTGACGCACCAGCAGTAGGAGATTTCTGAAGCCGATCAGAACGCCTAACCATAGCAGGAGTCCTAGACGAGTTTAAGGGAGTATCAACAACTTCGACATCAGAATCTGCGCTATGAGGGCGCTTCGAAGGAGTCATAGAAGCCGAGGCTTTCGAGGAAAACGCCGAGAGGAACGAATCGGATAAATGGATAGACACAGGCGAGGAGAAATCACAAAGAGTGTCACGATAACCAAGAGACCGCAGATAACCACCTTTTTCAAGTATCGACCTAGCAAGATTAGGACGAGTAAAAAGGGAACTATAAGGGACTTACTAATCTATATTAGCATTCCAAGCATTGCAGGAGGTTCTGGTGCGAAGAGTGCACCGAGAACCGCGACCGTTCCAAATGTAGTTTAAACAGGCACCAGAGTAAGAAGCAGCTTCCTTAAGCACCGGAAGAGCGACGCACGACTAAAATGTTCCGCCGGTAGTGCACGACGAACAAGCTTCTGAAAGCAGACCACGCTCGTGTAAAATCAAGGCGCTCTGTTATTGCGCAGTCTTAATTATCTTTAGTACCAGCTTACCCTTCTTGTCGGACGCCCAGTTGACCTCACGACCCCAATCGACCAACCGGAGAACGCTCACATCGGTCGCAGTTAAAGGAAAGAGACAGACTAAGGGGAGTTAGCTGCAAAGTACGAAGAAGAAGGCACACTTACTATCAGTGTAGGCATCGATCACTGCTTGACGGCTTGGAATCGTAACCCCATGCTACTGCGAGTAAGACATGTTAAAACAAGCGGGATTATATACATACCTGATAGGAGGAAGACACAACAGTTCGAAAACGGAAAGGAATCGATTAAACCAGCTTAAGTCAACGAACAGCCTTAAGGACGACAAGGCATGGAAGAACAATGGGTACGATAACTAACTAGCGAAGTATAAAAGGTTCTATTTATACCTGAAGAACAACAAACGGTTGATCTGGTGATAACAATCAACCTCGCTTCCTACTAGCGCGATTCGATAACCCTTTGACATGACCGTTGCAATCTGACTGGCGCAAGAATCCCATTGCAATGGATCTATAATAACTTGACTGCTTTGTTGATCTAGACCAATCAGATCCTCGCTAATCAACCTTAAAAGCGACGGATTCGACATAGTACCAGACTATGACAAAGGATTAACCCCATTGTTGGATGCTGGTGAGGTACTCGCACCATCGGACCGATATCAACAAAGCCGGAGGCTGATCGCTCCGTCTTGGCAACTCCGGGGCGGAGTTGCAGCTAAGTGAGGGGGATATCATCCCGGATGACTAAGATGTATAGTGCCTGACGAATATGGCTCCAACACGTAGGCACTCCGAAGACACGATCCCACATCATACGATCCCAGATCGTATGATATGGGATCCCACGGCAGTGCACTGGAAGACCTTGGCAGACACTAGGTTAAATAGCGGTCTGCTACCTTAAGTAGCAGACCAGAGAGAGAGACAGAGGACTTCAAGGATAGCTTAGGCAATACATTCATTCAGAAGACTCAATAGACTTCCCTCAGCTCTCCCCAGGGCCGCCATCACGGCGGCCCCTGGGGCCCCCGTCCCTATTCGACTGTCCTTACAGCTCATAGTGTTCTACTACCTCGTCCAGTCTCCTACATAACCGGCCGTGTGATGAGCGATATTGCATACGCAATATATAAGGTCTATATACCTATTTACATTGTGATGGTTTGGTTGTCTCTGCGCTAGTAGAGATAAAACTACTTGACCATATAAAAGGTACAAGACGACTGATCGAAGATCAGTCGCATCTAGCGCCCTATATAGTATGTTACAGGTTCAGCCTGTGACTAGGCCTCTGCATGGTGCGGTCCCGGTCCTAAGGTCAAGGACCAAGGACCGGACCGTACGGTCTTCCGGTCCCAAATGATAGGCTAGGACCGCACCGCGGTCCCCGCGGTCCCTTGCGGTCTTCACCACAGTGAACCGCAATTGCATAAAATTGCCAAGACCTTCCCTTTTTAGCTGTATAAATCGATGATTCATCTTCCTTTTTACTGTTATTAAACACTGTTTCGTTATTTACCTTAATATTTATGGTAATTCAGCACTAACTACCATAAAGTAGATGAAATACACTTATTAATAAAATATTTAATATCTAAAATATCCAACCCTGCTAAGACTATTATGTGTTTTAAGTTCTGGTGGTGTGTTCAGATCGAAGGAGTAGTTAGTGGATTGTATAGGGTGGCAAATATATATTTTGAAAGCCAAAAGGCGCAAATTAATAACTAAATGGTTATTAAGCTCAGCATACTATAGCAAGGTCAGGTCCGTGACAGAAATATTATCTTCTCTCCTGTTTGGAACTTGTGGGCTTGGGCCCCACAACTTCCAAACTGTCTAAGAGTATCTCCTTAAACTACTTCTTTGGAGTCCTACTATTTCCCTCTTGTTTAATATTTACTAAAAGTTCTTATTTATATGGTGTTTGGTCTTTTCTGCGGTCTTTCTGCGGTCCTACGCGGGTATAGTGGTCTTTTGCAGTCTTTGCGGTCTTTGCGGTCTTAATCCTAATAGACCGCAGCAAAGTGGGCCGTGCCAGCTAATTACTATATAAAATACTCTGTACAATTTGATCTATCTATAATCTGCTACTAGATACCTTCCCTGAGAATTTTTTACTTATTCCTTTCTGTGAGCTACAAATAATCTGGTAAGTCTGCTTTTTTTTCTTTTTTTCCTTTTTATTATATACTTATTTGTTAAAATGGCACAGAGCCAGGCCTCTTAGTTCTCTGACCACTATCCCTTCTTAGTGTTTAAAAATAATTTAATAAATACTCTCTCCTTCTTTACATCTAACAGGTTATTTAATCTCGACGGCCGCGAAACACCAAATTCTAATTTTAAAGCTAATTTTTCCTGACTGGTAGCTCCTCCTCCAATCCCTATAATACTCGAACATGTTGGCCCTTCAAACAAGAAGCTTTATATCCTTTAGATAAAAATAGTAAATAAGGATTTTGTTGCATGGTGGTTTAAAACAGAGTATAGAAGTAAGACAAAACAGAATATTTTTAAAGGTAAATGCAACGCAGATTACTGGGACTACTTCCACCAGGTCGCTGCTATCTAGGATGGATCCCCTAAGGTAATGTGCAAGAACTGTAATTATATCCTTGTCTATCCTACTAATTGCCACCGGGGAATGTCTACTATAAATAAACATTATTCGCAAGCAGTAATCTGTTGGAAAGGAACGAATTAGTTACAAGATATTAGAAAAATAATTAAAAATAGGGTATATATATTATATTTTTTATTATTACTTTTACTAATATTTTAAAATCCCCTCCCTAGGCATACCTAGCTTCTCGGAAAACTTTATTCACGCCGCAAGCTTGGATGGAAAAGTTAATTACCTTTATAGCTGCCTTGCAGCTACCCTTTTAACTTGTTGAGCATCCTGAATTCCATGCCCTTTTTAAAATGGCGCGGCTTGCTCCCTCCTTCCCTAAAATCCCTGCTGCAACCACAGTCCGCCGGCACCTTTAAAGAAATAGTGGGACAGCGCCAATATACTTTTTTAAAAAGCTCCCCGAGGGTGCTAAGCTTTTATTATATTAAATTGCTGGACCTTACCTTTTTTACAAGCCTTTATAGCAATAACAGGCTATTTTCTTGACCAAGAGTGGAACTACCGCGAGATTTTACTTAGCTTTAAACCACTACATGGCTTGTATACAGGCGCCTATCTAAGCACTATTCTGCTTGATCTTCTTGAGAGATATTGGATTACTAATTAGGTATTAACTATTACTACTAATAACACATCTAATAACAGTACGTTACTAGGTAGTCTCTAAGAGGCGCTTAAATCCCTCGAGCTACCTAGTTATATACTAGTTATTTGGATACCTTGTATCGCACATATTATACAGCTTAGTCTAAAAGAGCTGCTTGGTCAGATGGATGCAAACCCGCGGAATAATAAGAAAAAGATAAAATGAATTAAGGGAGGGAATAAAGCCCGGCAGGAGAATAAAAAGATCGTGGATACTTTAAATAAGGTATAACTATTTTTTTTTTTTTTACTTAACTAATTACTTACTATTTTTTAGATTCGGAAAGTAGCGGTCTATATCAACAGAAGTCCCTAATACCGTGAGAGCTTTATAGCACTCCAGACAAAAGAGCCAAAGCTTATACTAATACAAGATATTTAAACACGCTGGAATTTAACGTTTCTTATACTTCGCCGTGCCTGATAATTACAGTCTGCCTTTAATAACTTCTGCATCGAATTTAACCTTACTAGTATAAAGATAAATAAGGATAAATAGTAACAGGTTAACTATTTTTTATTAATTACTTAACCCTTCTTCTAATTTACTTCTTCTTTTTTTAACAACCACAGATATTATTATTTATAATATCTTTGGTATTTACAATACTTTGTTTACTTATATTAAGAAGGCAAAAGCACAGCTAGCTTGAAAAAGAGTTAGCTAGAAAAAAAAAGTAATAAAGTCAGCACTAGATACTACGCGAGAGAAGCTTGCAGAGTATTATAAAAAGACCGATAAAATTCCTAGTGATCTCTATGCAATTGGGACTATCTTGGGACCGCAGAATAAACTCGAGTTTTTTTAATATTAGAATAGGAGCCTTACTGGGGCCGTGCTACAAGAAGTCCCTTAAAAATTATATCCAGCCTTACCAGCAACACCACAAAAAAGTCATAGACTATATTAACTATCCAGCCTACAAGTAACAACATCTCTAATATTAATATGCTTGTAACGCCTGCTGTGTTTCTATAGCTAATAATAACTGCAAGTAATAAGCTTACATGGTATCTTAGAAGTAGTAAGCTAACCTTTTTTATTTTTATTACTTGTATACCTATTCTTTTGTACTAACCTTACTAGGTACTGTACAGGCAACCCCTGGGTATACTAAAAGGAGCATTAAAATAAATACCCTATTCTAGCAAGCCTTACCCAAGATATCCTTACAACACCAGCCAGTGGCTCTGGCATAGAGCGGTTATTTAACTCCGCTTGTGATATTTGCCACTACCGCCGTGGGTCACTAAAGCCGCAGACAATCAAGGAGTTAATAATGTTCATGTGTACAATAAAATTTAATATAGAGTCCGAGCAGCTTGCCCTAGTCGAAGAGTATCTTTCTACTCAAGAGAAGCAAGTAAGAAAAGAGCAAAAAGACACCCAGGAGAAAAATAAGGAGGAATTTAATTCTATTAGTAATAATAAGGAAGATCTATCTACTGCTAAAGGCACCCAATCTTCTAGTGAGCATGTGCTTGGGAAGAGAAGGGTAGATATTATATTAGATAATCTTATTTAACTAAAAACACTAATCAGGACGAGGTTCCTCTACCTAATAATAGCCACCTACAGGAAGAGAGTTATACTTAGAGATGTTTCTTAGGGCACGTTCCAAAGCATTTGAGACAAGATAAAGATTTTGTATATAATTAGTGCAAATAAAGATAAAAAGCTACTTCGGCAGAATAGTACATGTTTAATAAATATTATTATTTAACCTTCTAAAAGTAAACTAAGCTAAAATCAAAATACTTAAAAATACAGACAGATTCTACATAAAATATGCATATTATCAGGTTTCGATGTTTGTCTTGTTTGTAGGACCGCAAGACCAGACCGGACCGCACCACGGTCCCAAGGGTAAGGACCAAAGACCGCTGCGGTCTGGTCTGGTCCGGTCCGGGCGCGGTTTTGCGGTCCCGTGCAGAGGCCTACCTGTGACATACATCGGGGAATAGTGTGGTATAATCTTTGCTTAGGAGGTAAACACGGACATACATAATCTAATCCTAGGACGAGACTGGTTAAGGTTAATAAATCCAGTAATAAATTAGCAGACTAGATATATAACTATACAACAAAAAAAAGCACTCCTAGTAAAGCTCGTACCAGAACATGTCTATGCAAGGACCATCGCAGGATCCGAGCCAAATATGATATTAGGGAAGCAAGTACAATGTCACGGCGTGAGCATGGCGGAACAACTGGATTCTATTTTGACGAAGACATCGCTTGAAGAACTTGTAAACAGAGCGACGCGAGGTCAGAACTAAACTATCTACAGGCGGTGGAGGGAGGCAGAACCCGAATCCTGACATAATAGGGTGTAAACCTTAACTATTAGACAGCTTCTAACATCTTTAAATAGTGTTATGGAAACACTATAATCCGCCCGACTTGGCGGTGAGGAAATATCTACCGACCCATTCTACCCCTCAATCCTTTAGATAAGTGAACACCTCAATGAGAATATAGGGAACCGCTTAGTAGGCTCAGTTGGTTGAGATACTGCGATTCCTGGTGTTTCCACTGAATGACATCTACTTCCTAATTAGGCTAGTTGGTCTGTAGCTGATAGAATAGCTCCCTATGCCCCATTTCCCCTGAGTTCACAACAAATAGGAATCGATGGATTATAATAGTAGTCGATTATATAACAGGATAGGTAGTTGCAAAGACTTTGCTGGATATAAAAAACAGATATTAGCAAGGTTCTTACATAAGGAGATCTTTACTAACTATGGAGCATTTAAAGAGCTCCTATTAAATAATAAACTAAACTTCCTTTTAAAGATTGTTAAGGTATACATTGTGATCTTAAAAGCAAAGCACCGAATGACGACACCTTATTATCCACAAACGAATTGAAAGAACGAGAATATAAACAGAACTGTTAGGCCGGATGTTAACAAAGTACTTAATGGGCAAGCCAACACGCTTGTAGGATTGGCGACCACATTGCATATTTACATATACTGAGCCCATCTTGTGTTGCATCCTGGAGCCTACCCTAGGTGCCATCCAAAACTGGCACACTTCCCCTAAGGAAATCCGCGAACTCCCATTCCCCTTCTAATAGAGAATTTCTCAGAGATCTGTGTTACAGCTGCTCTGGGGACACATTGTTCGAGCAACTACTGGCCGCATTCAAAATAATGTAGTTGAACCATAATTCTATCCAACGATCAAAATCGTATTGGCGGCGCTACATATACGTTGGACGATTCTCTGAATAACAGCAAGGCGAGACAAAACGAATCAATAAAACCAAACAAGGGAATCGATTTTGCTATTGGTCAGTTCTCTATGTCTTCCTTCCAGAACGCAAACATCTCACGAATGACAAACCCCTGCTCCTCGTCCGTCAAGGTCAGATGCACCGGCAGCAGCAATATCTGCGAGATTGCAAGGGAGGTCACACGGTCGACACCGACAAAGCGACCATTTTTCAGGCCATAGGGCGACGAGTGCAGTGGCATGAATTGCGGATGGGTCTGGATGTTCGCCTGGTCCATATGCACAATCAAATCCTTGCGCTGAGTTTCATCCGTGACCCGGACGTAGAACACATTGGCGTTGTGTGTTGTGTTTGCTGGGATATGAGGCAGTGTGATGTATCCCTTCTGCGCCAACGGGGCAAGGTTCGTCTGGTATCGCTGCCAGATTTCAAGTCGGCGTCCATTGATCTTGTCCGCTGCTTGCAGCTGTGCGTACAGAAACGCTGCCTGCAGCTCGGATAGAGTCGCGTTCAAACCCATGTCGAGCCACTGATAGCGGTCGACCTCACCGCGCATGAAGGGTGCTCGGTTGGTGCCGTGCTCATACAGGATTTCGGCGCGCTCGACGAGACTGGGATCATTGATAAGAAGCGCTCCTCCTTGACCTCCTGCAGTGAAGTTCTTTTTTTTTCTTGAAAGCTGATACAGCCGACATTTCCGATCGTGCCCAGCATGCGGCCTTTGTACGTCGATGTACAGGCCATCGCTGCATCCTCACAGACGAACAGGTTATGCTTCTTCGCCACCTCCATAATGCGGTCCATGTCACACGCAATGCCAGCGTAGTGCACTGGAACAATGACACGAGTCTTGGGAGTAATAGCGGCTTCAATCAAGCCGGCATCGATGTTCATTGTCGCGTTATCAAGATCAACAAATACAGGTACTGCTCCGCGTAGAACAAAGGAATTCACGCTGGACACATAGGTGTAGCTTGGGACAATAATCTCATCGCTAGGCTGGATATTGGCGAGGATCGCAGCTATCTCCAAGGCCGTGGTGCAGGAGGAGACTGCTAAAGCCCGTCCGCCATTCATAGAGCTTTCAAGCCATTGCTCACAGAGGCGTGAGTAGGTTCCTTTGCCGTTGAGGTTGTTTAATGTGAGCACATCCTTGATGTTGGCCAGCTCAGTGCCCACGATCGTGGTGCAGATGGTAGGGATTCGCTTGGCCAATGGTGGGGAAATCATCGTAAGGGCAAAGAGCAAGCAGGTCGTTGTCCTTGGAGGAAATCAACCTGATACCGAGCAAGGATTCTGGTCAGCGTGTGCAATAAGAGCTCCAGAAGAATCGAGGAGACGTTCTGAGCAAAGAAGAGGGGCTCAACCCATACCCAAATTTTCAACACGGTGAGGATATCTGGATGAACTTTACAAGGTATACGCTGGATGAAATATTCAATATTTCAAATCGAGGATCAGAATAGTACATCTTGCGTGTTAGAGAGACAAGTCATCTTTTAAATCGAAGGCCGGTATAGTACATCTCGCGTATTAAAAAGACAAGTCCTTTTTCCTGCTGTGATCTGCGGACTGTGAATTGCATTTCGAATTGCAGCAACAAGACCAGAAATGATAACCACCTCCCATCGGTGGCTGCTGCATGCCGCTCCACTGATTGGAACGATCCCATTGTTTGAGTACTAGTGGCATTTTAGTGCATGTGTCCGAGATCTGCAGACCAGAAGCAAGAACGGAGAAGGCCGAGGTGGAGCGAGGATCTTGGTGCTCGCATGCAGCCACCTACTGCAATGTACAGATCACATTTTTAATCCTGACCAGGCCAGCACATACAGGTCTCGACCGAGGATGATGCAGGCGGTGCTTCAATAGCCCGGAGCTGACTCGTTCAAATATAGTAACGAGAAACATCCCTGTCTCTGCCTCCCAAGAGTCTCAACAGAATCATCATTGTATCACACAGTGTGACGGCCTCGTCACCTTGGGTCATGTGATCTGCCGGTTTCCCCGCAACTGATGTTGTTATGATCCATCTCTTCTTCCTCTCCTCTCCATGTTTGATATTCTCGTTGAAGAGCTACAGTTAGCGGGAATAGATTCATTTGTTATATGAAGATCTCCTGGCCTAGACTGAGCCGTGACACACACTCCTCAGTGCAGACCACCCTCTTACCAGCCTTTTTGCAATTTACGCTGAAGTTCTACGTGCGAGGTGTTTTGGTAGCGAATCATCATGGAGGGAAAATCATGTCTGCGATGGGGTATTCTGGGTAAGTTCTTCTAACAACAGACAGTCAATAGGTACTGACACAACCACAGCCACAGGACGAATCGCCGAGAGTGCGCATGTCTTCCCTCTCTCCAGATCCCACTAACATGCCCAGATTTCGCAAAGGATCTTCTTATCGACCCGACGACCAGAGAGGTCACCGACGTTGCCCACGCCCTCATCGGCGTCGCTTCCTCTCGCTCTGAAGAAGCAGCAAGCGCCTTTCTCGACAAAGTCCATGCACCGTCATCCTGCCGGGCATACGGCAATTATGGAGACCTGGTCAACAGCTCCGAAATCGACATAGTTTACATCGCGACGCCGCATTCGCACCACTTCCAGAACGCCATGCTTGCTCTGGAAGCCGGGAAGCATGTCCTATGCGAGAAGGCTCTGACGGTAAACGCGCAGCAGGCCAAGAAGCTCTTTGTCACTGCTGTGCAGAAGCAGCTGTTCCTCATGGAGGGCCTGTGGACGCGGTTCCAGCCAGCTGGCGTGCAAGTTCGCCGTCTCCTCCGGGACGGTACGATTGAGTCGTCACCCGCATCTTCGCGGACAATAGCTTGGGGATGAACCCTTGCAACTTTCCAGCTGATGACCGAATGGTGAAGAAAGAGCTGGCGGGCGGTGCACTGTTGGACTGTAGGCATGCCAGCTCCTGGCTCTCCCGCAACCATACTGACAAGAAGGCAGTGGGCGTCTACTCCATTCACTGGGTGCTACAGGCGCTGCAAAACGAAAACCGCCGTCCAACGGAGATCTATTCCATCATGAGCAAGTACCCTGCCACTGGCGTCGATGAAACGACCACCATCATGATGAAGTTTCCAGCTGCCACCGGAGACGGGCCTGAGGTGCACGCCATTGCCGCCGCAAGCCTGCGCGCCGCGACTAATTCAGATGGTAAGGGCCCTGCAGTGCGCATCCAGGGCGATCGAGGAGAGATACAGATCTTCGGATGGCCCTGGTGTCCATCCAAGCTGCGTGTCGTCCAGCGAGAGCAAGGCTTCGGCAACGTGGGAGTCGCCCGTGAGTTAACTAACCTCATCCCTGGCGGCGCACACGGGCTCTGCTTCGAGGCAGACGAGGCGGCGCGCTGTATCCGCGAGGGTCGACTGCAAAGCGCCGAGATGCCCTGGGCCGAAAGTCTGGTCGTAATGGAGATCATGGATGCGGTGCGCAAGGAGATGGGTCTGTCGTTCCCAGATGAGATTGAATCTCTGGCGTATCCAGTGGAATTGCATTCTAAGCTCAATTAGATTGGAGTAGGGCTCTACGTAATAAGTATTGAACTTTTCATTATGCGGTAGTTCGCTCGAATCAAAAGTGCAGCTGGGCGAACATATAACATCCTAGCTAGGAAACGATATATTATGGCAGCATTATCAGCTTGACAACACCTGACACCCTCTCCATCATTTCTACAAATTAAATGCTTCTTCTGTATTTCTACCACTGCATCATACTTCCTCTGCAACTTTGTCCTCCTTGCGCCCTGTAAACACAACCACCAAAATCACCATCACCACGCTGAGCCCTCCCAGAGACAATGACATAGCCGTCCATCCCGCCCATTCTCGGAGGTATCCCGCATACAGTGGCCCGGCGAGGGTACCGCCCGCGAAAGCGGCATTGCTCAGTCCGTACGCCTGTGAGTACGCGCCCTGGCTGCCGAAGATTCCTGGATAACGTTTTTCGACGGCCTTTGTTGCCATGCTAATCTCAGTCATCATTGCAGGCATGGCCATGGAAATCCCGCAGCCGAACAGGAAGAGAAACAGGCGCAGGAGCAACGAGCAGAGGACAGTGTTGTGCTGAATCAAGCTGAGGAGCATCATGCTCGGCGCTGCGAGGGCAAATCCTGCGACCGCGGGCCAGAAGGGGCCGACTTTATCGACCACGTTGCCGCTCAGAGGCGAAAGAACCATTGGGAGTGTGTTGGACAGGAAGACAATAGCGACCTGACTGGAGTCATAGTCGCAGAGCTCATGCAGGTACACGGGAAGGACCGCCTCGAACGCAGTCATGAAGGTGTTCAACATGCACATTCCCACCATCGCGACCAGGAATCGCGGCGAGCGCAGGAGTATGACAAGCGTGGGAGATGTCTGCTTGTCTGGAGGCCCTGTGGCAGGCAATAGGGGCGACTGCTCGTCTCGCTGGACAGGCGTCTCCAAGCATTCCAGAGATCGTGACGGTGGCTGCAAGAGCAGGCTAAGGACGACCTCGAGCATAATGAGCGCAAACGCCGGGACGAACACAGCAAAGTAGCCTGCCATATCATAGACGAATCCACCGACAATAGGGCCGCCGAAGAGGCCCAGACTCAGGCTCATGCTGGTGAAGCCGACGGCGCGACCAATGCGCTCGCTGCCGACTGTGTCGAGCAGCAGGCTAAAAGCCGATCGTGAAGACGATGGCGGTCGACAGCCCCTGTAAAACCCTGGCAAAAAGAATTAAAGGCAGCGAGGTGGTCAGGGAGAAAAGCAGCGTTGCGCCGCCCACGACCACCAGGCCCAGCATGAACGGGAGCTGCTTTGTTTTCGTCCGGTCTCCCACCCAGCCAAAGAGCACTGCATAAAGGCCGAGTCAGCAAGGCGATAACCCAGGGGAGTGGAGAGTTTCGCAGCATGCGAACATACATGATCCCAGGAGAATTGAGGCGCCATACACGGCCAGCAGGATGGAGTTCCATCGCTGGATGTCGCCCTCAGCCAGGCCAAGTCGATCGGCCAAGGCAAATGGCAACATGGGCACGACCAGTCCATAGAGAAAGATGTCGGTGAAGACGGCCACGCAGACGACGACAGTAACAAAGGCCGTTGAGGACCGCCACTTAGGCAGCATCATGATGATGCGTAGAGAGAGTAAATCAACGCGTAAAGAAGGAAAGAAAATGTCGACCATAAAAATATGCGTATTCGCAAGTATCGATCCTTATTAGAATTAGGCCTCTGGTTCAACTAAGCTTCCAAAACATGTGGCGTTTATAAAGGCGAGGTAAACAAATGAAGAATGTAAACTAACTAATACAGGAAATATACGTGATCCGATGATGTTGTATCATCAACAACATTAACCGAGAAAGGTGCTGAATAATCAATATTACCATACTTGTCGACAGAAAAAAAGGTGGAATATATTACGTCTGTGGGACTAAATGAAGTGAATGAATGGGAAAGAAATCCAGCTGGATAAACACCAGTGTTCATGACGAATCATGCAGACTACAGGAACAAATGCAAGGGTCCTCTCCCAGTGGATTCAGCTAGTCTCACCAACTATCATCCAATCATCTACCAATCAACACTTTGAGACCCTCGACAGATGCGCTGCGTTGCAGATCTAGCGCGACACAAAACCTGAAATAAAGGTCAAATGCTCGATGCGCTCCGGACCCTCCAGCAGATTCTGCTCCTCGAAGATCTGGTACATTTGTTGCAGCCAATCTCGGTGGTGATGCTGCGCCAGAATCTCTGAGCTGGCCCACCTGCATCCCAAGATGGTGTCAGCTCGTGTAACCGACGATCCTCTTGCTGAGAAAAACACATGCAACTTGCCTCTCGATGACCTTGAACTCGAGCACATTATCAGCGCCACGACTTTCAGTTAGAAGAAAGGTGAAGCATCCTTTTTCCACACGGGTCACGTGGCCGACCGTCTGGCAGAGGATTTCTCGAAGCTGCAGGATATCATTAATAGAGAGCTGATGGGTGGAGATGATGGGAGACATACCTGCTCTTCTTTTCCAGCGGCGGGACGCAGTGTCGCAATGAGCTGAACCTCGGCCATTGTGCGGGATGCTTTTGGCGAATGGAAGTGGCGAGAAAAGAATGCAGTCCTGGAGACTTCTTTTACTTTGCAAATTGGACGGCTGAGAGTGATGTTCTGGCTGAGAGGGGGTCCCCCGCCTTTATGCAGGGGCACAAGTCTTTGCAACAGGAATGTGTATGACAGAGAACCTTGATACATTGGGTCACAACACCTGCAGCCTCTATCTCTGATCGTATTATGTGTAGTCAGCGTATTATGGGCACTTTGCATACGTGCAACATCTGCATCTCTATTCACACCAAGTACTCCGTCACGTATTACATACAGTACTCTCGGTCCAGCCGCTGAATAATATTAGCCGGCGGGTCTTGGGGCCACATTTACTCAGGAGTTTGTCGTGCAGTTTGACATGTTACTTTCCGATGTGGAGACGGATCTGGGGTGTGCTTTTCCGATGGGCTTCTGATTATTGATCGTCGGTGTGGAATCGGGTGTAGCGGTGAAAGCCCAAGACGTGACGATAGAAACAAGCAGCAGAAGGGGATGAGATAGATAGATAAGCCCCGGATAGAGCGAGATGTATTCCTCCCCTGCTCTGAACGCCAACTTCGCTTCAATCAATCCGACAGCTCCTTCCAACGATCCGTTGTCACAGACATTCAACATGGTCGGCATTATCGACGTAGCAGAGCTTACCAGGAACCCCCGTTCGAGCTGAGCGATGCGGACAAGGAGGTTCTGAACACGGCGGAGGAGGACTTTATCCCTCATACCTGGGAGGAAATCAAAGCAGTCATCGGTTGGTAGCCCACTCAGAATATCACAGACTTAACTAATCCCTTCATCCAGCTGGCGGCGACATGTCTCTCTTAAAACGGTCCCCGATCGACCTCCGCAACTACATACTCTGGACCAGAGAGATCCGGGCCAAATTCGGTTCTGCGACCAATTTCATCGTGCAAAACCGGCTGCAGTGGAAGCCGGAGTCTAACGAGTCTAGCACCTTCTTCCCCTATCGCAATTCGACCCCTTTTGCGGACCAGTCCGACTATCGCATTTTGCGCAACGACTGGCCCTACGGAATGACCCCTGGAATGGTGCATCTCGTCATCTGGTCGAAGACGCCCATCGGGGTTGATGAAGACGGTGATCCTACTCCCGAGTCCCGCCAGCTCATCACCGAGTTCATCACGAGGACATTTGCGGCACAGATGCGCCAGAAGAAGCACTCTGGCGACAACATCCAATGGTTCAAGAACCGCGCCAAGTGGCAAAGCGTGCGCGCTCTGGAACATATTCATGTTGTCCTTAGAGACGTGGATGAGGACTTCGTGACCGCTTTGACTGGCCAGCATCCCAACGATATCAACTGCAAAGCGTATACTCCCTCTATGGACGGTTGGTAGGGCTTTTGGCCAGCTGGGCTTGGAGAACTAGTCGATGTATTCATGTACTTAGCGACTGCTTTGATGCTTCCAATTCAATCCTTGACCCTAAAAATGAAAAGCGAAATATGATTATAGCATGAAGGATGACTACTAGTAATTAGATGCTGAGTCAATGCCGCTTTGTGATATGTATGCAAGGGGGCGGCTCAGCTGAACAGGCTGTGATAAGAGGGCCAAGAGTTGGCTCAAAGACCGAAAGGGGTGCAACGACCAAATATAAAATGTAGTACCCAGCAGATCCTCCAATTGGCCTTTCATGCCTTCGTGAACAGTTTAATCCTCTGAGAATATTTATCAAAATGTACCCCGGTTTCAGTTCAGAAGAGCTCGTGAACTCTTATCCGAGCTCACTGCAGCTGCAGCTGGTTCAAGTGGTATGAAAGGCTCTGGTGTATTTCACTGAGTTAAGCCGCTAATGCTTGATACCGTATTCAGTTCTTCCGGCATGGTAAGACTATTGTGAGCCTTGCGAACATGAAATGCTAAGTATGTGTGAACAGGCGAGAGAGCTCCTATTAAGAATGTCTTTTCACCTGTGAGCATTTATCCATGACTATGAGGGTTATATGACCTTGGAGCTCACCGCAGCCACAGATAACCAGTGCGTCATCCTGATAAAATCCAATCGTATCTGGTCTACTGACTACACAAAGACTGGGAAGGGTGCTCCCTTTCTGGCCAATTCCGCGAGCTTGTTAACACAGTCCTCAAGCCCGGCGAAACGCCATCCTTTAGAGCTGAAATTAAATTCGGTGGCGGAAAGGCCCACGAATGGTTCGTCAGGCGGCATTCGTTCTGGCTGCTTTCGCTGACAAAAATACAGTGCGCCTGGCGACTTGACCGACATTGGAGTGCAATCGACAAACCACCTCGGTCGCGATATCCGACAGCTTTACGTGGATCATCTCCAATTTCTACCTGAGAGATTAACCGGGTCCGAGGTGCTGCACCTCCGCTCCACGCGGTATCCACGGACCTTCCTTTCACTGCAAAGCGTAGTCAATGGACTCTATCCCCAGAGCGTCGCGATGTGAGACTGGAAACCCTGCCGATCGTGATTCGTCTCCCGGAAGAGGAGACCTTGTTGCCGAACGAAGATTTCTGTCCTCGTCTACGTCATCTTCTGGGAGAATTTCTCGCTCGAACTGCGAAGAAATGTAGGAGGAGGGATGTACGACACCATGTGATGCAAACAGCTAACACCCTCGGCAGGGAACCGGTCCCCGAACTTTCCAAGTTGAATAATTTAGCGCCAGCGGCGATGGGTTTAAAGAAGGGCATCTATCTCGACTCTCAGCCAAATATCGCCGATCTACGCGACTCTATTGCCGCCGCGATGGCCGCACCTAGTGTAAGAGCATCGGTCCCGCCTCCCTTCCGTGATCAGGATATCCGCCTTACCCTGCAGAGGATTGCGGCGGAGCAGGAGCACATTGGCTTTGCAGACAGCGCCGAAGTTTGTCGTCTCGGGGTAGGACCTCTCTTGACGGAGATTGTAGACCGCATGGCAATGAAGGTGGGCGAATCCTGCAGGGAAGAGGCGGTGCATAAAGCACACAACAACAGCCACCCCAGAATCGCCCTCTTCGGTTGTCACGACACGACAATTGGGATGATCTTGACATCTCTGGGGATTATGAGGGCTCCAGCATGGCATTGGCCCCCATTTACCTCATCCCTTACGGTGGAATTGTTTAAGTCTTGCGAAGCGTGTCAAGGCGGAGCTATCGATAAAGACAGAGAGATCTCAGACGGAGATCAGCAAGGCATGTCTCGGAAGCAGAAACAGGTAGGCTTCTCACACTGTTGCACCTTGAGATCATCGCCCAATGCAAGTTGATATCAGCCACATAGTCTATTCTTCGTGCGTCTGCATTACAATGGACGGTCGATACGAGTTCCTGCGTGCGCAAGCAGCCAGGGAAGCACCTAGCAGGCAATGAGGAATTTTGCACCCTTGTGAGTGATATTCCCAGCCACTTGCCACAGGAACTTTACAACTCCCTGGAGATCCGGCTGACCGGTGTGATAATCTGAACAGAGCGCATTTCGAAGCGCTGTGCAAGATTTGGCGCCGTCGGATTGGGAATCGGCTTGCAATAGCCGTTCAACGATCTGAGTCATTGTGCAGTTGGTTAAGGAAATCATGGATCAGTGGACTTTGCATTAACCTAGATCTGTATATCATTTTAACCCGGACTAGGAGGTGGTGATAGCAATGCTCGATGTGGTTATGATGGGATCTTGTCAGAATAAAGATAGTCCATATTGGGACATCATGTGGAGTATAGTGACGTGGCTATAGCCATCCCTCCAGAAGAAGAGGGGTAAGGAGAATATCATTCAGAGAATAGTCAATCAATTCAGACCACTCATCAGAATACCAATAAATTAAAAGATCTCAATCCATGTTTAACTAGTGCTGTGCCATCCACTATGCCGTAGATGGCAACTCGCGGTTCTTCAAGCAGGACCAGGAGGAAGACCAGGTGGTTTGTGGCGCTCAAAAGATTCGTCACTTGCAGCATGCACTGTATGTGCAGAAGTACCGCACATAAAATTGTAAAAGACAGACAGCCACAGATGTGCCACTCGAATTGCTCCAAGTTAAGTAGCACAAAAGTCAATATACACCTTTTTGCCCTTACTTCATGCATGGCCCTGCATCCACCAAAACCCAGGCCGGACCAAGCAGCCGCGAATGACTTCAAAGCAATCGATTTTTCAGCCCCAGTTAGCCGCAAGCGTACAGCTGTGATGGTAGAGAGAGTCTTGCATCCTCTACCAGATCTCGATCCAAATAAGACATGAAATCTGCCGCCAGAAGGATATCAGTTTGGGAATATACCAGATTACTTCTTGAACAGAATCATCCCATCGCGCGGTACGCCACTATGCATATCGATTTTGACAAGGTCTTCTCTAATGGCTACTTTCCTTCTGAAGATGGCCGGCTCAAATCGCTGCCCGGCGTGAAAAATATTCTGGTGACAGGAGGCGCCGGGTTCATGTGAGAATCAAAGTCCGACTTCTTGCGGGTATAGAATCTCTAACGTGCCTCCTTTTCTCCAGCGGTGGGTGGTTTGTCCGCCATATGGTCCAGGTGCATGGCGACAGCTACGTTGTCATTTGCTTTGATAATCTCGAATATTGCGCCTCGATGAACAACTTCAGTGTTATCAAGCATCTGCCCAACTTCCACTTTGTCAAGGGAGACATCTGCAGCGCACAAGATGTCGAAAGGGCACTGCAGAAATACAATGTCGACGCGATTGTTCACTTTGCCGCCAGCTCCCATGTCGACAATTCATTTAGCGATCCGCTATTGTTCACAAGAACAAATGTCATCGGCACCCAAGTCGTGCTCGAGGTTGCTCGGAAGCTGGGCTCCATTAAACGATTCATCCATGTTTCCACCGATGAGGTGTATGGCGAGAACGATGCCAAAAACGCCTGTATATAGATAGTCCCTACACTCTACGGGCCTTTGCCCGCGGAATACGGCGGCCCGCAGAGGTCCGGTTGCGCACTTCCCCGGACACTCCACGTACGCTGTGTGTCGCTGACGTAAGACCCGTCCCCCATACAGTCCCCGTAGACTGTCGACCCGCCCCACCCCGTACAATCCCCGTCGACCGTCCAATGCCGAACGGAGCCCGTCCCGACACCACCAACACCGGCTCCCGTCCCATCGTCCGCCAACAGGAGTTCCCGAGCCGTCCCGATACCACCCACCCCGGGTCCCATCGTCGGTCGATAATGTTTTTCGATCCGGATCGTTGATTCGGTAACATTTTCGCCCCGGTTTCCGATTATCTCTTATAACTCCGGTTACCGACCACTCAGCACTGCAACCCGATCGCGACTGCGCCCAACCATTCCGGTATGTACGCAGCGATACTGAATAAGGGCAATGGTAGAACTCCGAAGGAGTAGGTCAAGGAGACACTCTGAGACAGCTCAGCCTGGCAGGAGAGAAGACAACATTCCCTTACGCAGGTGCGCTCCGTGGTTTGTAAGAAGGTTGTTGATTGTTTATTCCCTCTTCGAACGAGGACTTAAGATAACCGTTATCCATACAAATGCCACATGCCAGTCCCTCTAGTTCCTCCACCAGGGTGGTTTTAACAAGTCGATACAAATCGACACAATTCAACAAATTGCAACAACACCATGTTGATTTATATCGATTAGTTATTATTGTATTGAATTCTTCTGCTAATTAATGTTGATACCGTATTGGGATTTTATGGTCGTTAGAGACTCTAATTACGTGGTGTAATTTTCGTAATTTTTGTTGAAAACCACCCTGTCCTCCACTATAATACAAACAGGGATTGTTTGGGCAACATATGACGCCCGATCCCGGGATGCTCCCCGACTAAGGTGCCGGCGCAGAACAGGCCCATGCCATGGAGAGTAAGTCAAAAGAGCGCTCTTGGAGTGGCCCGTCTCAGCCCTGCACGGATAAGTTACTTTTTCAGCAATCTAGCGCTGGAGTATTGCGCTGATTTGCTGGACAGATGTTCTGCACTTACTGCATTGTCTTTTATTCAGTGCTACGACATCTCCTATCCAGAACACAACACAACACAGTGAAGGATTGGATGGGGACGAAGATATATAACACCTATTACCATGCAGTTAGACGGCTCCATTTAGTCCCTCGCGTTCAATGCAAGCCATTCACTACGGAGAAACTTGGTTACCATATTAACTCGTCAGTGCTTTATCTCCTCTTAAGTATATATACTGATAGGCCTTGCTTTTACTTCAAGTTATCGTTTGTGTCGATTTGTCTATCTTTGCGTTTTGGACCCGTGTGGTCATTGCCTGCTTGTAGTCCGCCTGAGTCCTGTGGAGACGATGCTCTGGAATCATCAATCAGATCCTCGGTAGCTCTCCGTTGTAAGTCAATGTCGAGATATACTGTAGAATCTAAAGGATCTGTTACACACGATCCTTAGGCTAGCTGATGTCGTAGCGAAAGACCCTTGACTGGCTTGTTAGTATACTTTCGGTTCTTCAATCCAATATATATATATATAACGAACCAACATGAGAGCCTTCAGCCGGCTTGGCGTCGTCGGGCATCCAGTCATCGAACCCCTACATATATATATATAACAAACCAGCCGACCAATGCGACCGTATGGTACACAGAGGTTCAACTTTGCCTCCAATCCACAATCTCAAGACTGGCGAAAATCCACTGCGCCGAGTAAGACATTCCCTACTCCTGTACAGTTCCGAACCGCATCTTCTTCTCAAACCCCTTTCCAGCAGCAACTCGGAAAATGTGATCTGTCCATTATTTTCCCCACAGACGAAATCTTGAGACCAACCCCCTGAAATTCTGCCCCTGAGATTCGATCCCCAAACAAAAAAAAAAAACTCCCACCTGCCTGTTCCTTACAGTCTACATTTAATGTAAGGAGAATATAACACCGTCTTTATTTCTTTTACTCACTGCTGTTCGGATATTATGGCAACTCGCAGGACTTCCGTGGCCTTTCCCGACGGGTCTCAACCACCGCCTTTGTTGACCTACCTGAAGGAATATAATTGTATAGTGTGTATTGGGTGCAAAATTGCTATAACCGGACAGCTAAAAGAGCGTCATCTTTCCGATGTCCATCAGCTACGGACTATTGCGGATCGAGCGCGACACCTGCGTCAGATCCCTCGCGACGTTACCCCCGATCCAGCCATGATGAATTCTCGCCTCTTCCAAACAGCTCCTCCCGGATTCCAGAGCTCGAGCTTCACGATCTGTGGGAATGCAGTCACTGCGGGCATCTTACCCGGTCTCAGCGGATAAGTAAAGACACCAGGTTGCTGCACATCGTGCTGACGGCCTTCCGTGGGCGCCTCGCCGCGTGCAAGGCCAATCCTGGTTCCAATCCAGCCGATACCTGCGCTTCTGGACCACCGCGCCCGTGGACCATGGTCGACCAGCCAGCATGCCAGTGGAAACCACGGAAGATCCGCCCTCCTCCTCGGCTGCTGACACAATACTAATAGGCGAGCCGGAGATCGCTCCATCCCAACTTGATCCGGTCACAGGTACGTCTCTCGTTTCTCCTGGTCCGGCCCACCGCTAACCACGCTCACGTTCGTCTGCGAAGAGGACAACCGGAGAATCAAACCCAACGAACTACCGGTCCGACCGCTGCGACCCCTGGCCCCGAAGCCCGTAGACGCGGAGCCAATAGAACGACCGACCACACCATTGCAAACCCCACCCCTGACTGGCAACCACACGGCCCGATGGATCCGGGAAATTCAGCACCTAGAGGCTCGTGGGATCCACCGACAGCACCCTGCGCAAGAGGCCCGTCCGGATCCTCGGCTCTTTGTTTTTCAGGCCCGTCATATGGAGGACGATGTCACACCATGGCTGCTGCAGACCGACTGGCTTCGATTCCTGGATGGCCGTTATCTTCGGGTGTTGGCCGAAGCGTCCGCGCCAGACCCTGGCCGGCTGCAGAGCCATCCAGGTCTGCAATCTTTCTGGCCAGGAGCGCTATGGGACGATAAGGAGTTAGTCCCAGATGAGCCCGCAGGGAGCATCCAGCAGATGTCGGTCAACATTTTAGACCTGGTTATTGCATCGTTTGACCGGGTCCTTAACCGAGCCCTGGACAGCTTAGCGTCCACCCATCCGCCAATCCGTCGTCTATTCCGCAGCTCATCGCAGACCGGTTTGAGTGCGGTGGAACTCGACCGGCAGCAGCCAAAGACGCTCCAACGCTATCGCCGCGTATGGCGGCGGTATCTGGCCTGGATGGTACGCGGAGCCCCTCTGACTGACCAAGAGCGCACGGAGATCCTCGGCCTCCGGTTGGACAAGTATGAGCGGGAGCATCTCACCCGGATCTGGGACACCCTCCAGGCATACCTGGCTCATCCGGAAGAAACCCTCGCAGCGGGCCACTTCCTTCAACGAATGGAGCAAACTGATGCTCGGCGGCAGGCAGTTAAGCGCGCCTATGATCGGAGTAACCTGGGTGAACTCGCTGCAATATCGAGTCCTGTTCCCACACCTCAGACTACATCATCTACCACCACTGCCAACTCCCGGGCGGGTACCGCTGCCGTGCGCAAACGGCCGCGGCGAGAGAGCGTGACCCCGACACCATTGCCACCACCAATGCGCCGTGGCCATCGCCGTACAGCCTCCCAAGCTCGATTGTTAACTCCGACGAAGGCCTCCGGCACTCGACTCCGCGATCCTCGTGTAGGCGGCAGTGTGTCTACCGGTGAGAACTCACCGGTCCCCTCACCGCGACGTGTTGAAAGAATGGTTGCAGTGTGTATCCCTATAACTCCACCCTTGTCATCTCCAGACGCTCAATCCTCTCAAACCAGGTAGGTAATAACTATCCCGGGTCTTTTTCACTGCTGGGCGAGAACCCACTGCCACTTGGTCCTGCCAGGCTCCTACGTGAATACTTATGTGCTATACAGACGGACCCTACGACGTAGAGTCGAATTATCCCCAGACAATAAACAACCACGCAACCACTTATCTCGGTCTCCCTCTATATCTAGTGAAGAGAGTGAATCGCATTCGACCAAGAGTGGCTATGTGGACAATAACGTGGATATAGATACCGCCTCAGAACCTGGTAAGATAAGATTTCTATCCCCTACCACCTATTTCCATTTGCGGACTTACTGACTGGGCAGCGTGGTTAGGGGAGCCCGGGGCACATCCCCGGCGAGATAAGCGACACCGATTTGACATCGAGTGATTGGTCTGATGAGGAGGAAGAAGACTTCCTGACCAGTACAGAATCGCCGATCCCGTCTATGGGTGACGGCGCCGACCTAGATCGAACGAGCCGGAGGGGCGTGCCTCAGCTTCCACCGGAATGTCAGCGGTGGCTGGATGAGATGGTCTTTTCGCGCTCTGTATAAGCAGCATTAGCACTCGTGCTATCCAGCAGACTGGCAACAAATTTGACAGCAGTCTAGTTGCACTAACAGCCGTGCTTGCGATTCACCCTGTCCATCTCACTGTGGCCGGTCCATATAGCTACACCAGCGACCTGGCTGCCATCCTCTGGATTTCACGGCTGCTTCTGCTGGAGTATGCACTGCCCGCCAAGCCATACCACTTTATTAATGACGTGCCGGTCCGTGACCAGTATCGGAACCGAGTCCGACGAGCCGCAGCGGTGCACTACACCTTTGGAGTCCGGCATACTTTTTTTACCCACTGGAGGAGATTTTACGGCTGACCGCCCATGGGATATACCAGATGTATCACGAGGTGCGTCCAGCCTCGATCACCTGGTCTCCGGACCAAGAGACAGTGTACTACCGGCAAAACCCCACTGGCTATACCATGACCAACTTCCGTCACTGGATCCAGCACCTGATCCACACGACCACAGACTTCTTTTTAACCGGGAGCTCCTGCTGGGCTACGTTGAGGACTTTACGCTAGCGGACTTGGTCGACGTGCCCAGTGAGAGACGGAGTGGCTTCTCCTTTCTTGACGTGGCCCCCCACCATGCGCGGCCCACGTGCATCCCTCTCCTCCTGCTCTGCCAGTATCCACCGTCTGGCGTGCGGCCGCTTCGGCAGGTTTCGACACACTGGGATATCCAGGCCATGCGATTGTATGAGAAGAAAGTTCAAGACTTTCTATATAAACTGGCTTTACTGATTCAGGTTACCTGGGGCCAGACCAGTCGTGAGAAGGAGCTACTCACCATTAAATGGCAGAATACCGCGACATCCCAGCGGAATATCTTTCTCAGCAACGGCCAGGTTATGATCGTAACCGAATATCACAAGACCCGCCGCCGGACCGTCCGTACCCACCCCGTTGCTCGATTTCTTCCCTCCGCGGTGGGCCGGCTGCTTGTAACGTATCTAATCCACGTCCGTCCCATGCTGGTGGCGTTTAACAGTCAGCACCCCCGGAGTCCCGGGCCCGTCGGGAGGCCAAGCATGATTGCTACTTTTTGTTATTCCTTCCTCGCCGGTTTCCCCGCCGCCCCGCAAGTTGACACATCTTCTACGCCAGTCGACTCAGCCGTTTTTAACAGTGCCTATCTAACCACCCTAAGTTATCGCCATCTGTCTATCGCCATTGCCAAGAAACATCTCCGCCCCCAGATGACTGGATCTGACCTGCAGTCCGCCGAGACAGTCCTCCATAATATCCTTGCCGCCCAGGCCGGTCATCATTCCCATATCAATAATCAGATCTACGCGGTTGAGGACACGTATCCATTAGGTCTCCTTCCCAGTCGCCAAGAAGCATTCCAGCGCGCGTCGGCCCAGTGGCACCGGTTTATTCTTTTCTCCGGTGACCACTCACCATGTCCAGGAAACCACGACCCCTCGTCATCTGGCAGAGGTTAACTCTGATAACAGTGTGGGATCCAACAAGCAAGAATATGGATTTATTGGCTTTGAGCCCATTCCCCAGCTGAAAGTCATAGTTTGCCGTCGATGTCGGTATGCTGTGCGACCCGATGAAGTAGAGCGCCATCTAAAAAGCAGCATTATCTATCCCATCGGACAGTGACCCCAATTATTCAGGCTATCCGCCAGTTGCCAGATATCGAACAGGATGGCTCAGCAATCCAGGTTCCTCATGTTTTGGATAAGCCGATTCCTATTTTACCATGTCACTCAAACGGCTTACTCTGTCAACGGGCTCCCGACCAGTGTCAGTATATTGGATCAACCATGAACACCATGCGCAACCATTGGAGAACGGCGCACCAATGGTCCCTCTATCCACATGGTGGACGAGTTTCCCAATCTCAGCGGGCTTCGCGAGAAATTGAGCTACAGCAGTCGCTTCAGCGTGTATCCTATCAACAACTGTTTCCATCACGGAGGGGATCCCATTATATCCAGATTCGATTTCCCAATGGTCAATAACTCTCTCTATTTATTTGCAATCAAAGTGTGTTGCCCTATTCCACAGGCCTGGGGCGGATGTTGGTAGAGTCTGGTTAGGGTCGGATAACAGTGGGGCGAGGATCGTGCGCTGATTGGCTAGCAGAATTCTCGTTAACATATAGTCGTTCCAAATTATAAACGTAGGGTAGCTCGACAACCCATAATCCACCATAGCTTAAATTTTTATAGTAGATGCAGGACACCTATAAAAGTAACTTGGCAAAATGGGAGCTTGAAATTCCGTTATATAATACTGTGGTGGTGGTCGATGTTTATTATTCGACTTAATTATTTTGTTGGGGTATCACAGCCGACCGAGCCGTTATTACATAACCACCAAACTTGCCAGGTTGCAGGATTATTTAGGAAAGAGGTAAACACACCCAACTGCAGTTATACGATCGCGTTTAAATAAACAATTTAATTTCGGCCATGGAGCACCAGATATTCGAGAAGCTTGATATGTTACCTGTTATTATTTGCAAGCAATGCCAGCATGGTGTGTGGCCCCCGAGGTTCTCCGCCATTTAAAAAATCGCGCCCATCAAATCCCACACGCCGATGCTGTCCAGATTAGCGAGAAGGTAATGCAATGGGAGGATATTGCGCATTCCCCGATCAGGTTAATTTTCCCCATCAGTTGGACCAGGCGTTGGTTGGAATACCCGTACAACCTGATGGTTTATTATGTCGGCGGGATTCCCCGGGCTGTCAGTACATAGGAAGAACAATTGAGAATATGCGAAAGCACTGGCGCACCACCCATGGATGGTCCCAGTATCCGCATGGTGGTCGAGTAAGCCGTGACGAGCGCGTGCGTGCAGATGCTGAGCTGCAGCGATCCTTTATATCTGTGACATGCCAGCAGATATTCCCATCGCGCAAAGGATCGCATTATATTCACATCCGCAATCCAAATGAGAACGACGAACCGGCGATCCCCACAGATGATATCCAGGTTGCTGTCCAGGAGCTAGAGAACGCGTGGAAGGAGGCGCAGTCCACGCCGAGTACAATTCAGGCATCTGATATTACCGACGCCAACCCATGGCTGCGCATGACCCGGTGGTCCGAGTATTTAGAAGGAATCGCACCAAAGGATCTAACCGACAGCGTGGCGCCGCCCGAGGAAGAGCCCACAGATCCCGTGGAGCAGGGCGTGCGCCACATTTGGGCCGCCATGGAGCAGGTCGTGCGCAAGAGCCAGCGCGTGGTCCAGCACAGCGGCCAGGCAATCTGCATTGAAGCCATCCGATCTGAAAAGGGTCAAACACCATATCGACCGTTGCAGGCGTATATGGATACCGAGAGCGTGGTTAAGCATATGCAGCCATGGCAGCAAATCCTAGCGTTTATCGCGCGCACCCAGGCGCCACACGAATGGACGAGTCCCCCGTACGGCATGACAGCACGGCAGCGCAAGAAATGGCGGCAGTTATGGCACCTCGCCACTACCCACCGGGATATTCCCGGCGAGCCGCAGGACGACGACGCAGCGTGGCGCATGACCCCGATCGAAGGCGCGTGTTTGGAGTTTTGCATCGAGTTGCTAAACCAAAAGCAGCGTAGCCATGAGTACGAGAGCGTGCTTGTATGTGCCATGGCCGTGTTGGGATGGGGCCGGGACAGATGGCAGGGCCCGGAGAGTTATCCCCGATCTTATCGCGTGTGATCAAGGTGGCGCGCTTTATAATCGTCCAGAAAGCGCTTTGGTTGGATCCGAATCCCGAGGAGATTATCGCGGTGTGGCAGAAGAAGAGTAACTGCGCGCAGTGGGTGCTCGCCAGCGCCGACGACGAGCTGGAGGATATTTATTCGGACGAGGGATATTACAGTCAACCAGAGCAAGGCATCCCATCATCGCCCCCACATCGCCCATTACCAGCAGTAATCCCCAACCGATAGTGAATATCCGCCGGCAGAATCGCGGGAAAACATTCCAGGAGCACGTGGAGTGGATGGTGCAGCGGTTTATGGTGCGTGGCACCCACAGTCCAATACAAACGTTGCAGGATTGGCGCACGTACGGGTTAAAGATCCATTATAATACCACGGCGCCCGGGCACATTACATGGAACCATGGCGACGAGCTCGGATACAAGCATATCACATTTACCATGGGCGATTTCCGCGGATTTGTCCATGGATTGGTCGGGGCCACACGCCAGATATTGTGCGACATACTGTGCGTGACAGCGCGGGAAGACATTCCCAGTATTCCATGGCACGCGATCTACGACGACCCCACGCAGGCCACGGTGGGATGGAATTTTTGCGGGATCAGCGCACGCAATGGCCGGTGGGGCCCAAGTGGATGATCGGCCGGTTGCGGGCCGAGCCGGCCGTGCAGAAGGAGTTTACCGTCCGGCGCCAAGCCCGACGGCTGCACATGCCGAAGGTGGCGCAGTATCTGGAGCGCGTGGCGCGATTTAAGGAGAAATTAGCAGTGCTTGTTCACGTGGTATCCGGCCAGCCGGCTCGCGCACCCGAGTTATTAAGCATTCAACATGTGAATACCGTGGCGAATCGACAGCGCAATATCTATATCGAGGACGGGATGGTGGCGTTGGTGACGGCGTACCACAAGGGGTTTTACGCGAGTAACGATATAAAGATCATTCATCGATTTGTGCCACGGGAGGTGGGTGAATTAATTGTGTGGTATTTATGGTTGGTATTACCATTTGTGCAGCAACTAAGCGCATGGCATGCGAAGCAGACGCAGGGCACCACGGCGCAGGGCATGCACGCAACGCAGGGAACGCACGCAGTGCAGGGCACCACCACAGCGCAGGGCACGAACGCAACGCAGGGCACGCAGGGAATACGCGCAGTACAGGGCACCACCACAGCGCAAAGCACCACCACAGCGCAAAGCACCACCACAGCGCAGGGGGCCACGGTGCAGGGCGCTCACGCAACGCAGGGCACGTACACATCGCAGGGCACGTACGCAGCGCAGGGCACCACGGCACAGGGCATGGACGCAACGCAGGGCACGCACGCAACGCAGGGCACGTACACATCGCAGGGCACGCACGCAGCGCAGGGCACGCACGCAGCGCAGGGCACCACAGCGCAGGGCACGCACGCAGCGCAGGGCACCACAGCGCAGGGCACGCACGCAGCGCAGATCCGCGAAGATGCGTTTTTATGGGGCCCCGACCCCGGAACCCGGCGCAAATGGACGTCCGAGCGGTTCCGGGAGGTGTTAAAGCGCGAAACCAAGACCCGGTTAAAAGAAGCCATTAATATCCAGTGGTATCGGGATATCGCCATTGGGATTAGCCGACGATTTTTGCGACCCACTGCCGCGTTTGCCAGCAACATGCAGGAGGAGAGAGACTTGGCGCAGGCTGTGTTAAACGCCGACACCGAGGAGGGTATGGACGAGGAGCAGTGGTTAGGCCATATTGCAGACTTGCAGGCGGCGCATTCATCCCAATTGGCGGGTGGAGTGTACGGCCGTGGTATTATGGAGCAGCCTGGGACCACGGCACATCGCCGTGCAATGTTTCGACTCTCCAGCACCGATTGGCACCGGTTTTGGGGTTTGCATCCGCCGCGGAGCCCAGCCCGTTGGGGAAGCGCAAGAGATCACCATGGGAGGACGAAGCCGAGGAGGGCCGAGTGGTCCGACGTCACCGGTTAAATATCGCAGATATGCGCACCACGTTGCAGCACATGACCGGGCAAGAGGATATCCAGTTCCGGGGCGTCCAAGCACCGGCGTTGCGCGCCATTCAGGACGGCAAGAGCCCGGTGGTCGCCATTATGCGCACCGGAGGGGAAAAAGCATGTTGTTTATGTTACCTGCATTCGCCGAGCCCAGTGGTACTACCATTGTGGTCGTGCCATTAATATCATTGCGGAACGATATGGTGCGGCGCTGTCGCGAGTTGGGTATATCCTGCATTGAATGGGATAGTCGACGGCCACCGGACGAAGCGACAATTGTACTGGTCACACCGGAATCCGCGGTGCAGGAGGATTTTCAAACGTTTATTAACCGGTTGCAGCAAACACGCCGGTTAGACCGGATCGTGATCGACGAATGCCATGTGATATTAAACGACCAAACGGATTTCCGACCCGAGTTGCGACAGCTGGGGCGGTTGAACCACGCGCGAACCCAGATGGTGTTATTAACTGCCACGTTGCCGCCGCGGTTGGAGGCGAAGTTATTCCGGCGCATGGAGTATTCCCGCGAGCAAGTCCATATATTTCGGGACCGGACAAGCCGTCCCAACGTGGCGTATCGCGTGTGGCGGCCCGAGCTGGGTCGGCGTTCCATGCAGTGGTTTACCAGCGAGCCGGTGCTCGCGTTTATCCGCGAGCGAATCCAGCGCGCCAAGGATGGCAAGGTGGTGGTATACGGCCATGTGGTCCGTCAGGTAGTGGAGATTGCACGCGAGTTAGCGTGCGAGGCGTACTACAGCAAGCAGGTTGACAAGCCATCTATATTACAGCGATTTACCCGGGCGAGGCGCGAGTAATTACCGCCACCAGTGCATTGGGCATGGGTGTGGATATCCCCGATATTCGCAGTATTATCCATATTGGAACACCGCGGTCGTTGTTGGAGTACGGGCAGGAAAGTGGGCGAGCCGGACGGGATAGCCAGCGCAGCGAGGCGATTATTATCCAGCCCGAGGGCTGGGACGAGCCCACGCCGGAGACGCCAGAGGCCGTGGCGGATCGCGAGTTGGTGGACGAGTACCTCGGGGTGGCGCCCGGGGTGGGATGTCGACGGTTTGTATTGACGCGTACATGGACGAAACAGTGAATGGCTATACGCGCCGATACTGTCAGGATATTGATTCCACCGAGGCACTCTGTGACGGCTGTGACGCCGATTGGCTCGCGCAGGAGTCGGTTTGCATGTCCCCGGACAGATATTCCCCGGACACCCGCATGGACGATCTCGCCAGCACGACAAGCCCACCACGCGAGATTAGCGCTACGGGCAGTCCCCATTCCCATGGTAGTGGCGAATTATTTCCATTATCGCATATTATACCACAGAGCACGCAGAATATCGCGCCAAATCCCACACGCCGGTCCCAATCCCATGACAATACAGAATCATTTGAAACTCAAGTAATATCGCATGTTATACCACAGAGCACGCAAAATATCGCCCCCAATCCCACGCCCACGGTTAGTATCGCCGAACGCCAGCGCCAACGGGTGCAAGACCAGCGCCATGCAGCGCCCCGTATTCAACACCAGGTGCAAGATGCACGGCAGTGGTTGGACGAGGAAACTATTGAAAACGAGATAGCACCATGGCAGAAAAAGTGCTATATTTGCACCATTGCAGGACGGGAACGGAACGAACACGAGTTATACTTTTGTCGTGGGCCCAAAAGCGACAAAGCCAAGGCATGGGTTAATCTAGTTCGCCAGTATAAGATTCCATTCGCTAGATATACCGCTTGTTACCGCTGTTATATGCCGCAGACGATCTGTCGACGATGGGAGGTACTAGATGGCCATCCAACACAAACCGAGTGTGTATATAAGGATATATTGGTCCCCATGACAGCTGTAATACTGTACGGCCCGTGGGAGGAGCAGATCCAGCCACTATGGCAGCGCCGGTTGCAGCAGCACGGGGTGGACGCAAACAACACCATGCAAGTGTTGCAGTTTTTGGGGCAGGCCACGGAGGGAGCCAAAGGCCAGCACAGCCAGTTATTCGCATTATTTTGCTGGCTATGGCAGATCTGCAAAGAATTGAGGGGATCCACGGGGTTTGTGGTATAACTAGTTAGTATACAGTGTAGCAAGAACAGTAATATATTTATAATTGTTATTTAGACTAATAAGTGTATATAATATAGGAGCACATGCAGAGCATATATAATATAGGGATATAAACAGCGGTGGACACACGTACTAGGCAGAGGTATATACCAGGGAACCAAGAGAAGGTACGCACCGGGGAAGGACGCACTGGGGGGATAAATATACCAGGAAAGGATACATACTAGGGGAGGTACGCACCGCGAGCATGTACCGTAAAAGGATATATACTAGGGGAGGTACGCACCGGGAGAAGGCATGCACCAGGAGGAGGCACGCACCGGGGAGGTACGCACCGGGGGAGGTACGCACCGGGGGAAGGCATGTACCGGGGTAAACACGCACCGGGGAAACACGCACCGGGGCAAAGACGCACCAGGGCAAACACGCACCGGGGCAAACATGCAATGGGGAGGCATGTACCAGGGGGAGGTACGTACCGGGGCAAAACACACCGGGGTAAACACACACCAGGGCAAACACGCACCGGGGTAAACACGCACCGGGGCAAATATATATCAGGGGACGCATATATTAAAATGTAAACAAACGCAAAGTATATATACTAGGTGGAGGTATGCACCGGGAGAAGGCATGCACCGGGAGAAGGCACGGACCAGGGGAGGTACGCACCGGGGGAGGTACGCACCGGGGGAGGTATGTATCAGGGGGAGGTACGCACCGGGGGGAGGTACACACCGGGGAAGGCATGTACTAGGGCAAAGGCGCACCGGGGTAAACACACACCAGGGCAAAGACGCACCAGGGTAAACACGCACTGGTGGAAGGTACGCACCGGGGGAGGCATATACCAGGGGAGGTACGCACCGGTGGAAGGCATATACCAGGGGAGAGGTATATACTAGTAAACACACACGCACCGAGGGGGTATATACCCGGGGAGATATACACTGGGGGTAGATATGCAGCGGGGGAGATATGTATACTAGGAGGAGGTACACACACTGTGGGGAGGTAACACACCAAGGGGATGTATACACACCGGGGAGGTATGCACACCGGGGGGGGTATACACACCGGGGAGGTATGTACACCGGGGGGAGGCATGTACTAGTGTAAATATGTATTAGGGGAACATAGTCACCGCAGAGATACGCACCAGCGGGAGCCACGTACCAGGGGAGGTACGCACCGGTGGGAGTTACGTACCAGGGGAGCCATGTACCGGGGGAGATATATACCAGGGGGAGGCACACGCACCGGGGGAGGCACACGCACCGGGGGGGAGGTACATACCAGGGGCAGGTATGCACCGCGGGGAGATATATACCAGGAAAAAATACGCACCGGGGAGAGGTACGCACTGGGGGAAGGTATGCGCTGGGGGAGGTATATAGTAGTAAAAATATATACTAGAGGAAGGTATAAAAGTATAAAAAAAGGCATGTATTAGAAAAAGCACACGTAAAATATATACACGCAGGGAGGTGTATAAAGTAAAGGGAGCACATGCTAAGTATATACACCAGGGATATATATACCAGGGGACGCATGTACTAGGGGACAGGGGATATATATACTAAAATTATATATGCCAGGGAATATATATATACTAGGGTACACACACAACAGGGGAGATATGCACCGAGGGAAGGTACACACCGGGGAAGGCATGTACCAGGGGAGGTACGCACCGGGGGAGGTGTATACCAGGGCAAGGCATATACCCGGGGAGGTACGCACTAGGGGAAGGCATATAGCAGTTAACACGTGTACCGGGGGTGAAATACGTACCAAGGAGGGTATACACCGGTGGGAGGTACGCACCGGGGGAGGTATATACCAGGGGAGGTACGCACCGGGGAAATGTACCAAGGTAAACACGTACCGGGATAAACACGCACCAGGGTAAACACGCACCGGGGGATATATATACCGGGAAAAATATATACCAGGGGAGGTACGCACCAGGGGCAGGTATGCACCGGGGGAGATATATACTAAGGGGAGGTATATACACAGGGGGATATACACACCGGGGAGAGACACACACACCGGGGGGAGGTGCGCACCAGGGGGAGCCACGTACCAGGGGAGGCATATACCAGGGGGGAGCCATGTGCCGGGGAAATACATACCAGGGGCAGATACACACACCGGGGAGATACGCACCGGGGCAGGCATGCACCAAGGGGAGGCATGTACCAGGGGTAGGTATATACTAGTAAACACACGAACTGGGGAGATACACACTAGCAGGAGCTATATACCAGGGGGAGGACGCACCGGGGGGACACATGTATCGGGAAAGAATATACACTGGGGGAGATACGCACCGGGGGAGGACGCACCGGGGGGATATATGTACCAGGAAAGGATATATACTGGGGGAGGTATACACCGGGGTAAACACATACCAGGGTAAACACGCACCGGGGTAAAGACGCACCGGGGCAAACACGCACCGGGGGAGGCATATACCAGGGGAGGTACGCACCGGGGTAAAGACGCACCGGGGCAAACACGCACCGGGGGAGGCATGTACCAGGGGGAGGTACGCACCGGGGTAAAACGCACCGGGGTAAAGTATACACCAGCGCGAGGTACACACTGGGGGAGATACGCACCGGGGAGGTACGCACCGGGGGAGGTACGCACCGGGGGAGGTACGCACCGGGGCAAACACGCACCGGGGTAAACACGCACCGGGGGAGGCATGTACCAGGGGAGGTACACACCAGGGCAAACACGCACCGGGGCAAACACGCACCGGGGTAAACATAAACCGGGGTAAACATGTACCGGGTGACGCATATATTAAAGTGAATAAACGCAAACTATATATACCAGGGAATATACACAGGCAGTGTTTTAAGCATATACAGAGTATATATAGCAAGGAAATACACACACTGGGGGTAATACACACCCGGGAGGCACATACCGGAGGAGGTATACACCGGGGAGACATACACCAGAGGGAGCCACGTGCCGGGGAAGATACACACCGGGGGAGGTACGCACTAGGGGAGGTATATACCAGGGGAGGTACGCACCGGGGTAAACATGTACCGGGTGACGCATATATTAAAGTAAATAAACGCAAACTATATATACCAGGGAATATACACAGGCAGTGTTTTTAGCATATGCAGAGTATATATAGCAAGGAAATACACACACCAGGGGTAATAATACACACCCGGGAGGCACACACCCGGAGGAGGTATACACCAGGGGAGGCATACACCAGGGGAAGCCACGTGCCGGGGAGATACACACACCAGAGGGAGGTACGCACCGGGGGGAGGCGAATACCAGGGCAAGGCATATACCCGGGGGAGGTACGCACCGGGGTAAACACGCACCGGGGTGAACACGCACCGGGGGAGGTATACACACGGGGTATGCACCGGAGGAAGGCATATACTAGGAAAAGGTATGTACTAGTTAATACACGCACCGGGGTAAAGTATACACCAGGGTGAAGTTTGCACCAGGGTAAAGTATGCACCGGGGGAGGTACACACTGGGGGAGAATACACTGGGGGAAGGACACACCGGGGGATATATATACCGGGAAAAATACACACCAGGGGAGATACGCACCAGGGAAAGGTATGAACTAAGGGGAGGTACGCACTGGGGAAGGCATATAGCAGTTAACACGTGTACCGGGGGTGAAATGTGTATTAAGAATAAATATATACTAGTAGGAGATACGCACCGGGGGAGGTACGCACCGGGGGAGGTACACACTAGGGGGAGGTATGCACCGGGGGAGATACAGTCCGGGGAGAGGGACACACCAAGGGTAGGTATATACTGGTGTAAACATGCACCGGGGTAAACACATACCAGGGTAAACACGCACCGGGGAAGCATGCACCGGGGTAAACACGCACCGGGGGAGGCATGTACCAGGGGAGGTACGCACCGGGGCAAAGACTTACCGGGGTAAAACACGCACCGGGGAAGTATGTACCAGGGGAGATACGTACCGGGGAAGGCATGTACCAGGGGAGGTACACACCGGGGTAAACACGCACCGGGGCAAACACGCACCGGTGGGAGGTACGCACCGAGTGGAGGCATATACCAGGGGAGGTACGCACTGGGGAAGGCATGTACCAGGGAGAGGCATATACCAGTGGACACACGCACCGAGGGGAGGTATGTACCCGGGGAGATATACACCGGGGGAGGTACGCACCGGGGGGAGTTACGCACCAGGGGGAGCCATGTACCGGGGGAGGTATATGCCAGGGGGAGCACACACGCACCGGGGAAGGTACGCACCGAGGGGAGGGTACACCCGAGGGAAGGTACGCACCGGGGGAGGTACGCACCGGGGGAGGTACGCACCGGGGGAGGTACGCACCGGGGGAGGTACGCACCGGGGGATACGCACCGGGGGGAGATACGCACCGGGGGGAGGTACGCACCGGGGGAAGCACGCACCGGGGGAGGCATGTACCAGGGGAGGTACGCACCGGGGCAAAGACTTACCGGGGTAAACACGCACCAGGGCAAACACGCACCGGGGTAAACACGCACTAGGGGAGACATGTACCAGGGGAGATACACACCGGGGTAAAGACTTACCAGGGCAAAGACTCACCGGGGTAAACATGCACCAGGGGTAAATATATACCAGGGGACGCATATATTAAAATAAACAAACGCAAAGTATATATACTAGGGGATATACACAGGCAGTGTTTTAAGCATATGCAGAGTATAAGTAGCAAGGGAATATATACACCAGGGGGAGGTATATACCGCAGGAGGTATATACCGGGGAGATATACACCAGGGGGAGCCACATGCCGGGGAGATACACACCGGGGGAGGTACGCACCGGGGGAGGGATGTACTAGGGGAAGGGATGTACTAGGGGAAGGTACGCACCAGTAAACACACACACCGGGGTAAAAGTATACACCGGGGTAAAAGTTTGCACCGGGGTAAAAGTATATACCAGCGGGAGGTACGCACCG